CCGCTTTTTCGCAGATTGAAAGTAGATATCGGGCTAGTCCGTAGAATAAATGGGTCAAAAGAGCGCAGCACGCTTCTTCCAATGACAACCCGAAGCTTTCGGGACCGGATCGTCGCTTGGTCCCCTTGTTTGTGGTTTCTGGGAAGCCAAAAGGAAAATCGAAGCCAATGTCAAATGGCCATGGGTAGCTTTTCCCATTTAGCGGTAAACACATTGTTTTTTTTGTTTGTAAAGATCTTTGGATCAACCCCATGTACCATCTGAGGAACTGCTCAGTAGCCATGGCTCTGTTTTTCGGGTACTTCTGCGCCGGTGTGTCCTCCTACACGCCGCCTGGGTCGTCGCAGGCGAGCGCTGCTCCAGTTCCATTTTTTTGTTTCCACCTACTCGGAGAAAAAGAAAAAACAAAAAACAAAAAACAAAAACATGCTAGGCGCTGGCCTTCGTGAACACGGACAAGCTGGATGCTGCGGGGACCTTCACCTTCCTGTGGACCACCACTTTCCCTCTGGGCTTCTATGCCCCCGCCTTCCTGCCGCTGCTCCTGGGCTTCGTGATCACGTCTGTGGAGACGGCGGGCTGGGCGGTAGGTATTCGGGCGGCCAGAGAGGGCTTTGAGTTTTGGGATTGGGCGCGGCAGCACCGCCTTTCGCCCATTTTTCCGACTTCGCGAACTGTTGTCTTGGTGTGAGACACGAACACGTCGTCACCCGACATGCGCAGGTCGGGGACATCCAGGCCACCAGCGATGTCTCTGGCTTGCCGCTGGAGGGTCCACAGGCGGATTCCCGGATCCAGGGTGGCCTTCTGGCGGACGGCGTGAACAGCGCCATTGCCGTGCTCATGACCAGCCCCTCGTCCGCATCATGGCAGTTCCGCGCCAATTGCGACACCTGGTCGTTGTTGTTTGGGTCGTTGCCAGTTGTTCATACTTTTCCAGCTTCCCAGAGTCTGGAAATGTCTGGAAGCATGATGCATTGTTGGCAACATGTTTGGCAAATTGGGCCACTGACACAAAGTCAAATCAGGATTGCATGAATCTTACAAGGGGTTGTGTGGGTAAGCCTTTCTGACAGTTTATGCTCCGTCGTTCGGATCTGATTTTGGGGGTTGCCTCATGTCATTTGCCGAGGCCCCCCGAACACCACCTTCTCTCAGAACAACGGTGTGATCGCCATCACCCGCTGCGCCTCGCGCGCGGCCGGCATCGCTTGCTGCATCTGGCTGATCCTCTTTGGGTGCTTCCAGAAGTTTGGGGCCACCATCGCATCCATCCCGGACTGCGTGGTGGGCGGCGGCTGGGCGAACGGGCGAACGGCCAGTTTTTACAAGTGTCTTCCACCCATTTTTTGGTCCCCAGAAACGGTCCAGAAACGGTCCCCTTGCCTTCAGAGACCATGAAGCCCCGTGCGAAGCCCCATGCCTCGCTATGAGGCATGACCACCTTCCTCTTCGCCAACGTCTTCGTGTCGGGCATCAACATTGTGACCACCGGTGAGATGACCCGCCGCACCCGGTTCATCCTGGCCATCGCCCTGGGCGTGGGCCTCTCGGCCGGACTTGTGCCGTGGGAAGATGAGTTCGGAGCTTTTGTTGGTCGTTTTCCCCAAAAGCAGGCCACTTGTACAGCTTCCACCAGGAAACTCTCTGAGCTTTGGCGTTTGTTTCTTTCCCCCAGAGCCATACAGGCTTCTTGTGGGCACCCGGGCCGAGCCGTTTCCGGGCGGGACCCGGGAACGCCGGGACAGGCGTGGGCGTCAGCGCGCTGCCCAGCTGGGCGGAGGGCGGCGGTGTGGCGGCCTTCCACGGCGCCAACCTGAAGCACAACATCGGGCTGTGGCCCGCCAGCGACGTCTGCGAGGCCCGAGACACGAGGAAGCGAGAGATGAGATATGGGTCGAAAGCCCGCTTGGCCCCCAGGGAACATCTCAATCCCCACTAAAGAAGGCTAAAATGGTGGGTGCACCTACCCCAAAATGGTACCAATGGTTTTGACCCACAGCCAGATGAGTCGAGTCGAGCCGCCGCAGAGATGAGATGGGCCAAAAGGGAAAACGGGTCGAAACCGGGGTCGGAAGGAGGCCGATAGTCCCAATGAACCAGAAATATGTTGGTGGCCCCCCCCTTAACTTCTTGAAGCGTAGTTCTGGGTAGTCCATTTACATTACAGGCTTTGATTGTGACTCATTTGCATGAGTTATTGATAAGTTGTTGAGGCCACATGGACACCGTCAACGCCAGGAATTCGATTCGTCCATTCGATTCGACCGTTCAGGTCTTCCCCACAGTGGAGGTGGAGACTGCCGCAGCCACCTGCACAGTGAACACGTACACCTCCTCCACCATGAGCCAGGCCAGGCCTAGACTTTTAGGGTTGATATGGTTGAACATGGACCACGCTTCTGCGGGAAATCTGTCAAGACTCACATTGGGAGTTGTTCAATCATGTGAACTTGACCGCACTACTGAGAGGTGGTTCCACAGCAAGCGAATGATCCATGTTAGGTTCCTTTGTCCTAAAAATGATATTGTGGTAATGCAACGGATGGTTCCACCGCAGTGAATGATCTATGTTGGGTTCCTTATTAACAAGTATTTGGCAACGCAACCATGTCGGTGCACCTATCATTCTTGGTGGTTGGATGTATCCGCTCATTATATCAGCCACAGGCTGACTGCACGGCCATGTCTGGCACCTGGACGGCCGCAGTCACGGAGCAGCAGACGGTGACCACCTGCCCCGGGACTTCGGGGGGGTGCTGCTTGAAGTACAATGCCGCTCGGAACGCCTCATGTTTTCAGTCTGACCGGTTTTCATAAACTTGTGGCCTGTCTGCCGTTGGCGGCTTAGCCAGCCTGCTGGCCAGACACACACACACACACCAAAGCCAAAGCAGTCAAGGCCAGCAAGAAGATGTGGCGCGACTCGCTGATCATCATCATGAAGACACCCTACTGCATCGGCACGCTGCTGGCCCTTTTCCTTCACCTTATCCTCCCCTTCGAGTCAGAGAGCGAGGAGCTGGGCGAAGCCCCTGCCAAGGTCCTCGAGACTGCTGAACAAGATGTGTGAGAGGCGACTTTGTGTTTAGAGGGTGTGAGACACTGTGAGCCTATCTCCACCCAGGGCGTGACCCCTGGAACTTGATTGGGGTTCCGCTTTCCATGTTCCTATTCGTGGGAAAAATGGAACTGGGGCACCCCCTACCCCCATGCGGGGCATGTTCTTCCTTGATTCAATGCGAAAAACTGCGCACTGGCCAAGGTGTTCTGCTGTGCTTTTTTCCATCATGAAGCCAGCCAGACCACCTCGGCACCTTGCCAACACTCGAGTTGGAAGGAGTCTTGGGGTGGAGCCCTCGTGATTTCCTCCAGCCGGGGGGTCCTTTCATTGCCCACGTCACCCTGTGGCTCATATTGAGTGAGTTTCTATTTTGACATGACGATAGGACCTGGGTGATGTTCATACGGCGTGTGCAAATGCACATGCAAGCCGTCTATTCCAAAGCCCCTCACCACGCAAGAAGGCCGGAAAGCAGGACGGTGAGAGCGAGAGAGAGTGTGGCAGAGCGTGAGTAGCAAGGGACTGGACTCATGCACCAAGACTTAGCCAAGTTGAGAAAGATGAACCGAAGGCTGAAGAGCTAAGAGCCATGGCTTGTCATGCGGCACAGGCACCAACCCGTGGTTTGGACAGCTTCCAACAGTAAATCATACAGGTTCAAAGCCTTTTATGTATGCTGCGGAAAGCCAATGAATCTGCGTGGCACTAAGTTCGTGCAATTGTGTGTTGATGATTTGCATGTTTGTTTTGCTGAGGCTTGGTGCGGATGAACTACAAACAGCCTATGTTTCTGAAGTACAGAATATTCGTGTTCAGCCAACTTGTTGCCTTTAACGACTCAGCTGATAATGGCGTTGGCTGAAACGACCGTACCTTCCTGCTTGTGTGCACGTCTGCTTGCTAGAATTGCTCGCTGCCCGGCAACTACAAGGCACAATTTGTGCTATTGCTGCAGGGCTTCTTAAAAGATACAATTTGCCCATTTGAAACATGGCTTTTTCCACCAACATAAAGGGAGACCCTTGCTGTTCAGGTGTATAATGTAAGGATCCCTGTGCTGTCATGAGCGTCGCGTTCTGCTCACTGAAGCTGGATGGACATGAGATGGCTTTATGGCCACTTTCCAGTTGCGCCCCCAAATAGGATGGTGTCCTTTTGGTTCCCTTCAAGATAACCCAAAGTAAGTCATGTGGGTTTCTGACTAACAAAGGGGGCCCCCTCTCCCCTCCCCCAAACAAATTTCGGGACCCAATAGAGAAAGCCGGTAAAACAATTTGGTTCAGATTGGCATTTCTCAAGTTTTGTACTGGCTTAGTATTGGTTTCGTTTTTGCTTCCTACTGCCTTAGTACTGGATTAGTATTGGTTTGTATAAGTTTCGTAGATTGGCTTAGTATTGCTTCGGTTGTCTTGGGTCATCCTCTCTGCCCAGTGCTGGTTTTGATTTGATTGAGTATTCCTTTGAGCTGGCCTGCCTTAGTTCAGGCTTTGCCGGAAACAAGACCCATCCATCCCCCAAACTTCCGATTTCCTTACATATCCTTGGTGTTGAAGTGCACAGCCGACATGGCCACCCCAAACACTCAATAGAAGAAACGATAAAGAATCACCCAATTGTGCAACCGTATTGGAGGAAAAAAAGGAAAGAACAACTACTAAACCAACACAACACAAATCTTTAAGCTAGGACCAAAAAGCTTCGGACAACAAACAACTTTCCGTTTCCAGATGAAGTCTCATATTTGTCCGAGCAAAAACGACTTTATTGTATTAGGCACCCCTTTTCATTTGGGGGTGTAGATAATATTTTGGAACATTTTGATTGCATTTGGCACCCTTTGATTAATCGGGTACCGACATTACCCTCAAAGAAAGACATACCCATATTCACGGCATTTGCTACAGTGAAGATTTGTTCTCATGGTGTGCAGCACTAGGCCACGGTGAGGATGCTGGTGAGGCATGGAGCAGAGGGAGAGACCCATTTTTTTACCAGCCATATTTTGCTTGCAAGGGGCACGGTTTCCTACAACTTGTGCATGGAGGGCCTAAGTCCGCTTTGTGCTGATGGGTAAGGAGCAGTTTGTGGGCCCAAGTCTTTGATTGACCGTTGCATAAGGCGGACGAAGTCTTGGCTTGATCTTGATGTACTCTTGGTTCTGTCAAAGGTGGGCAGTTGGTTTCCAGCCCGGGGATGCAATATTGGCCCTCCAGAAAAAGGAAGGATATGGTATCCGCTTTGCCAGACTAAACTGTTTGCCCCTTTGCCCTTTGAGTTTCCTTCACTTTCTCTTGCAACCGGAAGGGGGTACAGGGAGCGTGCCCATAAAGGCCTGATCCTTTACTTCAGCTTGTAAATCGACCTACGCTTTTTGCCCGTTTGGCCTCTTCGTTGTCTCCCAAAAGGTTCGTTTGGATGCGAAAAGCACAAATGTGCGTTGCTGCAAGCCTTCTAGAACCCCGGTCGTTGCCTGTTGAACGGGTGAGAAGCCAAGTTCGGTTTTGATTTGGATTTGAACCCATCTTGGCTAGGTCCCGCAGTAGTGCCCTTTTACCCTTTTTTTGGGGAGGGTTCCCCTACTAGAATAGAAGGGTATCTTTATTCTATCCTCTCTACTGGAGGACCTAGTTGGATTTCGCGGGTTTGAACCATGTGGGCCGCTTTTTGTTTGCTGGGCGGTTTGGAACCTCCAAACCTCCAAACCTCCAAACCTCCAAACCTCCAAACCTCCAAACCTCCAAACCTCCAAACCTCCAAACGCCTCGAAGCCACGCGGATGTGCCAGGCCGCGGCTCGCCACTTTGAGGACCGCAGGGCGCAGAATCGCCAGGACCGGGGGGACGGGGGCGAAGGTTGACCGGAGGTGAGAATGGGGTTGGTTCCTTTTCCATTCTTTTCAAGCGGTCTTTTCTGAAAACCAGCCGTTTTCCAGGGGGGGGTTCTGGAGGATTGCTAGAAAGAAGGATCCCTGGAAAGAATGGGGGAGGTACCCCTACAATCCTGTGTCTTGTTGATTTCACTCCAACCAAAAGGGGGTAATGTTGGCACTAGAATTCTGTAGGCTCACTTTTGGGGCCCAATTCTACTTTGGTATTGCAGCCACTTCCTTTTTGGAATTCTACTTTAGTATTACAACCACTTCTTCCTGAGCATACGTTTGGGAGGGCTTGAGCTAGAAAGAAACCAATTGAAAGGGGAATGCTGTTAAGCAAGTGGGCCACCAATTGAAAGGGGAATGGCTTTCAAGCAAGTGGGCCACCAATTGAAAGGGGAATGCTTTTAAGTAACTGGGCCACCAATTGAAAGGGGAATGCTTTGCTATGCTTTTAAGCAAGTGGGCCGCCAATTAAAAGGGGAATGCATTTGAGTAAAGCAACTGACAGTTTATTTGCTGGAGGGGGCTGGGGGCTTGCAACTAATGTGGTTCCCCTACAGAATGCCATTGTTGTGGTTCAGTGTGGTCTGTGAGGGGTACCCTTGTCCTGATTGTATTTTTGTGTGTGATTTTTTAAGCACGGTTTGATAGATAATTTGCAGTTTCAGGGCTGGGGATGGTTTTCACATTTCAGAGGTTTCAGCTAGCTTTGGGTTTTGTGTTTGAGCAACCAATTAAACGGGAAATGCTTTTAAGCAAGTGGGCCACCATCGACAATTTCTGTGTTTTTTCCTGGATTTGTGGATATTTTTTGGATTCCCCCCCCCTCCTCGGGCAAAAAAAACTGTCAGTCATTCTGGTCCCCATCAACAATGGGGGTGAACCACAATAAGGAAAAACACTTTGCATTGTTGACTATCCCATTACTCGGGTGCTAACATTACAATCAAACAACAGGCACACCGGCACACCCGAATGAATGGATCTGGGTGGCTACCTTTTTTTTCTGGGCAGACCCCATTTCTGGAGGCTTCGTGTTTATTTGGGCTTATGGGTGTCCCCTTGAAGACAAACCCTGAGGTTGAGGGTCTTTGTGCAAAACTTGGAGTATCAGGCCCCCTTCTTGTTCCATGAGTGAAGATTCCGACACACCGGCACCAAAGAAGGAGCCTCTTCCGGAACCGGAGGACCTTATTGCGTATGGCTCTATGTTTACGTTGGTGGAGAGGTCAACCCTTTTCTTCCAGGCGAATTCAGAAGTTCGCCAGGACTTCGAGCTGCAGCTGAAAATCCTCCGGGAGGCGACAAGCAATGAAGCAATGCGGCTGCGAAACCGGTTCAATGGGACTGCAGATGAATTTTGGGCTGGTTGATTACATGGTTATTATTAAAAAAACACATTTTACATGATTGCTTATTGTGGTTTAGTGGGAAATCCCCACTTAACTGCTAAAATTTCGGTTTTTGATCCCCTTCCAACATCCACCAAGATAAGGAGACGGTGTTTGTTTTCATGAGTTGGCCGAAAGAAGTTCCCTTCACGAGGCGCTTGAAGTCCGCCGGCTTGTTATGCGCAGGCCGAGGTGATTTGTACCACTACCATTGCGGCAGGCCAGGGCGGGTGGGGCTTCGCGGGAAGCTGTGCATTGCATGGACCCTCGATGGATGAACAGGGCTTTCCCCAGGAAAGTGTAACCTCTCAAATGGGACACTCGCCAACAGAAAGTCGACCCTGGGAGAATTCATCCTGGATTCCCAGTACACGGAGGGGAGTCAGGGCAAGGAATGCTCTACAGCCAGCTGTGCTAGAGATGTTGTGCGCACGTGCTGGAGGCAAACATTGCGACCTGTTGGATCTGGGCTGCACACGATCAAGTCGTTGTGTATTGAATACTGGGTACATATGGGGCCCTTTCACACACACCAAAGTCATCCTGCCTGGGCCATTGATGAGTTCCGGGTGGATGGTACTCATTGCTCATTGCGCACAGGTTGAGTTGTTGGTCTGCTATATCACGTTGCTGCATGGAAAGTAGGCTAGCGACAAGCTGGTGCAGGCCAAATGAGCACGGTGCCTTCACTCAAAATAGCCATTCGAGGTTTTTGGGGCTTACCGCAAAGGCCCATAGCCTTTACAAGCAGGCTTTGGAAAGAGTCGATGGCTTAACGCAAACGATTTGCGAGGCATGGACTTTCTTGCTCGGCTCTCCAACTTTGAAGCAATCCTGGTGGACGAAGTGGCCCAGGCATCACAGCCGCACGGGCTGTGTTGAGCCTTTCGCGGCTTTGGTGGTTTTGCCGGTTGCTCAGAATCTGATTAAACGTTCAAGTTATGTTATCCAGGTTTGTGAAAACACGCTTCTATATCACATGTGGTGTCGAAATGAAGGGGAGTTGTTTTGGAAGTCACAGAGATATTTCATCAAAGTGGAAACCGCTTCAGAAGTCATTCCCATCTTCCCAGTGGTTTTGTGTCGGCTTCTTCTAATCCCAGCTGGCTATGGGCATTCCAAAATTGAATCCAGAGAATTTGCTAGTTGCTGGGAGCCCAAAAGGTCCGTCGGTATGTGTTTTTGACATGGGGATTGATCAGTATTTCTGGCCCCCAACTGACCATGGATACCTTTTCCATTTGGAAGGAAAAATCATCCTCTTAGTTGTTTTCCACAATGGTCATCCCATGTAAAGGACCTTTTGATCAACCCCCCATGTGGGGCATTCACATTCGCTTAGCCCAACTAGGCACCTTGGGCTTGTTTCAGTGTGAAGTTATCTCAAGCGGACCTTCTGAAGCAAAGTGGCTCCAGTGCGACTAGCATTGCTAGTCAAAGGGAATACCATCAGTCTGAAGTAGCTATCATAATGGCTTCTTGTCCGCGACCGCTGAATTGCAAAGCCCCCAGCGAGCTTGGCCCAATCATGCGGCCAGCATAGCAATTGTTTACGGATCCATTGCGTTGCAGGGGTGTTGCGGGGCGCATAGCCAACATACAGAACACGATGTGCGAGGCGAAATTGTAGAGAGTATGGCATGTGCGCAAGACACTCCCTGTGCCGTAAAATACTTGAAACACCACTGAGGATGGTTACAAAGTCCACACAACTCACCAGTTAGACGATTGGTAGTTTATGAACCAGCATTCAAATCAGGCTTTATCCATCCCCAGTGGTACCTGGCGTGGATGTTGCAACCATCCGAAGCATGTAAAGGATCCTCTATAGTTCTTTACATAATCACGCCAAACGAAAGCTTCAAAAGGATACCCAGCGCTGCCAGGTGCGGCAAAGGCAATACTGTGGATTGACAAAATCCAGTTCGCACCGGTTGGTATTCGAATATGTAATTTAGAAATACTTGCCCGGCGTGGATTTTGTATCATCCGCAGAATTATCTTGTATGTCTATGCCTTCAGCAGGCTACCACTGCTGCGATTCGGATTCTTCGTGCTGTCCAGGCCACTGAGCTGTCCACTGTGGTTCCACTGATCCTTCGGGGCGCAGGGCGCTGAGAGCCAATGAGACGGAGAGAGGGCGGCTCATGTTTATGCATGCCTTTGTTAACATAAAGCCTACCTCTCTGTCTGTCTCTCTCCGTTCCCGTCTCTCACCACTCCACACTCTTCTTTTTTCTCCCTTCTCTCTTCTCCCTTCTCTCTTCTTCCTTTCCCTTCCTTCTCTCTTCTCCCTTCTGCCTTTTCCCTTCCTTCTCTCTTCTCCCTTCTGCCTTCTCTCTCTCTCTCTCTCTCTCTTCGCTCTCTCTCTCTTCGCTCCCTCACTCGCTCGTTCCCTCGCTCCCTCGCTCTCTCCCTCTCTCTCTCTCTCTCTCTCTGTGTTTCCCTCCTTTCTCTCTCAGTCCAACTCGAGCCGTCCTTTCATTTGTAACGAACCGAATCTGCAGTTTGCTCAGCATGATGGCCTGGCTGCAGTTGGGTTTGTTTGTTGAGCGGTGTTCAGAGACTTGCGGTTGGCAATCCTTGCACTACGTGCAGCTGCATAGGCAGACGCTTTGAGTTGCTTAACCGGATGTTGTTCGCAACACGTTGGCATACCGTCCGTCAGATTTATACCTCGCTTAGGTCTCAGGATCACGGAACTCTGCCTTATGATGGGTGATGGACATGAGGGCTTAACCTCCCACTAGCTGACAAAAGATCCCGTTGAGAGGACATGGGTGTGTCTTTTTCGGAGGGTACCCTTTTCTTGTGGTTGGTTTTGAAGGAAACGACAGGACGCCGAACCATTCTGCGGGCTAGCCGAATTCTGAAACGCGGCCAAGCTGATTTGGGTTGCCCAGGGCTGCTCAAGAGCTAAGGCCAATCGCTTGGTGCTGGTGGGCGACCACTGCCAATTGCCGCATTGTGCTCGGAAAGTCAGAGAGAGGTGGCTGGTCGTTCTTTAGAGCCAATGGCCGAGTATCGGATGCACTGACATCTTCACATGTTCCGGCCTCCTCGAACTTGTATGCGGGTCTGTCATTTTAGGGGACCCCCCTCCACCAAAAAGGGGGTACCCCTTTTCCAACAAACATGGCACCTGTGGGAGGGTACCTCAAGATCAGTTTCCTCTTAAAGGGACCCCCTGTCAGCTGCCATGTTAGTGGGAGGGCGGGTATACCCTCAAAAGAAAGGCACATGTAAATGGCCATGGGTCAAAGTCCCATACCCCCAGTGAACATCCCAAAATAGGTTCTAAAATGGGTGGTGAATTCACCTACCCCAAAATGAAAAATGGTTCCAAAACGGTTTTGACCCACAGCCAAATCTTGGTGCTCCAGTCCGAAGTGCGGCCCCAGGCCAGCGGTGCTATCGCCAGAGGCGGAGGTCCGTGGTCTCTCGGTGTCGGTGTACTCACGACTGGTTCAGGCGAGCGGATGGGGGGCTTCGATGCGTGGGGCCCGCACTGTTTTTGGTTTAAACAAAAGTTGGGTGTGTGTGTTTTTGGGGGGGACCCCCAAAATGGTGGGTTGTCCTTGTTGTTTCCCTCGCAAACCACAAAACAGAGGCCATGTGCGCGTGGAGTTTGATGGAACAGCGCTCTGAATGGGGGATCAAATCCAAGCATCTTATTTGATGTGCACGAAGGAGTCCCCAATTTGAAATTCATTCCCAATTGACTTTTGAGATTTGGCAGAGGGGAGCTTTGTACCACCTGCATTCAGGGTCCCATCAAGTCGCTTCATCAGAAGCCGTGCCGTGATCGATGAGACTGCGTTAGGCGTCCTTGGAAAGCACTTGATGTAGCTTGCGTTGGGTCAGCAGTGGCAATGTCAGGGTGGACAACACGCCACTGCGCGGCTTTTATTTCCTGACTGCAGAAGAGGCTACTCTAGCCCGAACGCTGGTTCTTCTTCAGAGTCGCAGAATCCCTTTGATGTTTAGTTCACGTAGATTGTTTAGCCCTTTATGTGGGCCGTTCCCACTAGAGACATCGTTTTTCATGGAATGTAGGAATCCCTGCAGGCGCATGGCTTGGTGAGCATACACCACCAATCGCTTCAGAACATCAAGTTGTGCTCTGTCAATGTTCTGTTGATTTTGGCCAGCATAACCGGATCTCGGTTCGATTGGACGTGTGTATTGCTTGGAGACAACCCACCAAAGTTTACTGATGTGGATGTGTGTGTGTGTGTGTGCAAGGCTGGCGGCTTGACGCCCTTCCTCCTTGACACGTGTGGGCGCCCAGCGAGCATTCGTGGAGGGAGCAGACCAGTTCAAACGAATGCCCGGTACCATGGCGACCTTGCCCCGTGCTGTTGTCACATGGCAAGCGATACTTTTGTTGGGCCAAGCACTCCCTGAGACATGGAGGCAAAGCTGTGGACAGATGTTTGCCCTATGTGAGTCATCGCTAATGCTACGTCCAATGGGCGTTGTAGTACGTTTTCGAGGCGTTCTGACGTTGGAAGCTGTACCCTCCCTCCCATGGCTTTTGACCGATCCCTTCAACAAGACAAATTATATCTCAGGTACCCTACAACTCACCTTGATCCATGCTCTGAACTTGGGGATCCAAGTCTTCTTTCAAGTTCCTTTTTTGGTATAACAACAAAAACAAGGGAAACAACAAAATAAAACCACCACCGAAAACGGCAGAGCCACGAGAGGCAAGAATTCCACTCAGGCAGTATCGATCCCATCCCAAGCTCGCGGAGTTCTCTAGCCAGGCCAGGGGCCCGGATGGCCCGGATGGATCCCTCGCGTTGCACTGCGGGCGACGCGGATGGAAAGCCTACTATAGGTCCCCCAGTGCCCTTTCTCACCCCTTTTTTGGGGGAGGGTTCCCCTACTAAGATAGACTGCAGAAAAAAGGGCACGCTTCGACAGCAGGGAAGCACCTTGTTTGGTTGAACAATTCGTGCAACTCAGTACTCTGAATTTCGGAGTCACGGGGCATCCGCTACGAAGCCGAGATATTAGTTCTTAATGTCTTAGCACGATTTTGGTTGCTGCAAACAAAACTGCGATCATCGGCAAGGACAGTAACTAGTGGCGCTATAAAGCTTCGAGGCTTTCTCGTGAAGGGGGAATGGTGCGAACCGTTTGTGCATAGGTTTCACGGCAGTACAAGTAGAGGTAGTCGTCGTGCCCATACTGGCCAGCAGATGGATCAGGAGAAGCGGAAGCATGAGACTGCCAGCAGTCCGGATGCACACAAGCCAAAGTGAAATCTGGACTGCTTCGAAGGTTCGTCGGTATGCCAGTGAGGCTGACATTGCGTTCGTGAAACCAATGCTCCTGGTTGACCTTAATAGAGAAGACCTGCCAAGAAGGCAAGAGGCCGCGGAGCTGCAGCAGGCTTTGTAAGGCTTTGCAGCAACGCGCATCCACGGCGCCGATTGAGGTTCATGGCTGTTTCGAATGTGAATCGCGCGAATACCCTGATCCACTCAAGTTGCAACTGAACCGGATTGCAAATGCAATTCATTTTGACAAAGCTTGACAGGCCCTTGTTTCTTCATCGACTGTGTATCTTGGCACCCTGGCCTTTGCACCAATTGTGTATGGAAGGCTGATGGGCCGCAGCATTTCAGTCAGAGTTGCTGCAAACGACGTGGGGAAGGTGCCGCTGACGCCGCTGGCCATCAGGAAGAGTGAGTCGTGGAAAGTCTTGCGATTGGAACACGGTGTCCAAATCTGACTGGATTGCGTACGCCCGAGGATTCTGGGCTGAGCTGGAGTGGTTGCACGGCCAGACATGGACAGATCCAGCTGCTGGCCGCACTGGAAGAATCTGGACTGGTGTCGCCTTGTTTTCTGGCACAGGTCAGACGTGCGGTCCGTAGTGCTGTTGCAGGGAGCAGCATGGAGCAACTCTTCCTCCTGAAGCCGACAGACAATTAATGCTCCACTGCATTGTTGCCAAGCCTCTGAGCGACGTCTCTTTAGTGGAGAGAGGCATGCACACGAGTCCGAGAGATCTCTGGAGTCCGCGAGCTTGGAGCTTGGAGCTCGTGCATTTGTGAAGGTCCTTGCGCTCGGAGTGGCCTAGATCTCAGCCTCATTTCGACAGGGGCCATCGCGCTCGCAGACGCCCTTGGCTCTGGCAACTTGCAAAGCCTGGATGTGAGGTCGAGCAGCATCCCTCTCGTCGAAGTGAAACATATATTACTCAGGTGTTGGCAGGGCCTTTGCTGGCTATATCTTGTGGACACTGCTCCCACAACTGAGACTTTAGCCCTTCCTTCACGCAGTTGTGAGCAACATTGCCTGTCAACCTATTGCCCATGTTTACATTATTTTCAGACAAAGACAGACGAGTCTGACTATAGTTCTGGCTGAACGTACAGAACCTGATGCCATAAGGTGGTGCTGGCGTGCGCAATATGCCGCTGAACAACTTCTTAACTTTAACCGGACCGAAGTTCAACCTGTTGTTCAAATGTAACCAAAACTTGCCCACCCTTCCGCGGACCTTTGGACCATTTTCCCCCATCGTTTCTCTTCTTGCTGGTTCTCAGCAGGGAATGAGGGAATGACCCCCTACTCTCCATCCAACTGGTGGTTTCCTTTAAGACAACCAAAGCCTGGGTTCATTCCGTTTCTCATTCCCTACTACCTATCGCGGCAAGGCTTGCAGGTTCCATGTTTTTCGGGCGGGTGGCTCTTTTCCCCGAGGCCTTCTACGAGGGCCTGGTGAAGAGTGGCATCGAGGCGCCAATCAAAGTGTCACGCCCCGAAGTCCATGAAATCCTTCAAGTGGGGGTTGATCAGCGTGAGCGGTGCCGGTGGGGGGACTTGAACCGCAACTTGGAAGGTCCGTCAAGGTTTTTTTCTGTCCATTGCCTGAGGGGGGGTTGATCAAAAGATCCAGAAACATGGGATGATCATGGGGAAAAACCACCAAAAGGATGATATGTCCGACTAAAGGGAATAGGTTCCCCATGGTCATTTGGGGGGAAAACAATATTGATCAGCCTTGTCAGGCAGAAAAGCGGCCTGCGCCTATGGGCGTGCCCCAACCTGAGTTGATGCAGGCTCAGATTAATCGCGGCATGACTGAACTAGCAGATGGCTACGAGTCTTCATTGTTGGAACGCACCTCAACAATGATTGGTGGACAGAATTCTCCCGGTAAAACAATGCATAAATCGGGGGGTCGCTTGCACATTCGTTACCTGTCCTGCAAGGCGCATTGCGATTCCATTGGGGGGCCAGGCCTGTGGAAAACAGCGATGCAGCAACTTGTTTGAGTTTCGGCACTTGGAAGACCAACGACACCCTCTGTGTTTGCATATGTTTGCCGTCTCCGATGTTGTTGTGCTGTGGGGTGCATTGACTCATATCTGAGCACCAGCATGATTTCTGTTGATAGATGCCGGTGGCAACTTATTCAGGATATTGCAGGATGGGCTGAGTACAATGCTTCTGTTGTTTCATCAGGTCAAAAAGTCGTAGCATGGGCCTCGGCCAAACAGGTAGATTCCTGCATGTTGTGCAGCCATATGTCTGGCAAGCAAAGCCTTACATGGTGGGCATCTTGACATGCCAGCATGCCAGCTGCAAGGCTCTAGCACGCAGTCTGCAAGGTCCACGTACCTGTCAAAGGGGGGACTCCTTTGGTTTCCCTTGAAGCCAACCCCAACAAACGGGTAGCCTCAAAAAGGCACACCTGTGACCATTCAGGCCATGGCCGAATCCGCATTGCCCCTTGGCCTTCATCAACGTGAACGCCCAGGACAGCATTCCAATGGTCCCAGTTTGTTCATCAAGTCAATACCCATCGGTCCGAAAGATCCTTCATGCATCCGCAAAGACTTTCCAGGCCTCTCTACGCCTTTGGATCCGTTTTGGGTGACACGCTGAATGTGCTCTAGTTCTTCTCGGATGCACACATGAGTGCGCTTTGCTTTTGCGATGGGAACCCGTTCATTAGAGCCATTTGCTTGTAGTCCAAGCGAAGCGTGCAGAGAATCAGACTGCATCAAGTTGCCAGCCCAATTTCGCTGGATAGGCATCGTCAGCTCCTCACTCAACTAAACAGTCTGATGGGTAGCCCGGCCCCGCCTTGCCGATCTTGCCGAATTGCATCTTGCCCGATTGGCGAGACGAAGCTGTGCAACTTTTGGCACAATCCACTCTCCTGCAAATGAACCTGAGACCCCTCCCAAAAAAAAGGACTCCCAAAAAGAGGAAGCTCCTTTGGTGGAGTATCCCGAGACCCTCATTGAGGAGGAAGCTCTTTTTGCGGTCCCATCCGTCCATTTGTTGGGACAGGAGGAGATGGAGGGCGACTCCAAGGCGCTTCCAGCTGGCACATGGTGTGACCTCCAGTCGCTGCTTCTAAAGTCAACTCCGACAAAGGGGCACCCTTGTGTTTTCTCTTTTCGAGGGGACGTGTCCTTTTGTTTTGCGGTTGGCTTAAAGGCAAGCCAACAGGAAAAGGGTAATGCTGCCGTTTTAATTGTTATTAACTTGTTTGTTGGAGTCCTTTTGGTGCATGGATGTTTTTCTTTAGTTTACCCAAAACAGGGATCGGGGCCCAAGCCTGGATTTTGTTTTTCCGTTAGTGTTTCTTCAAGGACCACCCCAAGACGGTTTCCTCACAACAGACACCCACCCGGCAGGCAAACCTCGTCGAAGCGCAGATGGTGGCCAGCGTAGTTGGCAAGGCCAGGCGCACGCACCACTGTTTCTTGACTATTGGTTTGGAAATGACTCCAAAGAATTTGGGGCAGCCCATTTTTCAGGGTAGCTTCAGGGTCCCTGTTGAAAAGGAGAGACAACATCCAGCCAACTTTATCTTTTTGGTTGAAATCAAGTAGGTTTTCCGAATTGAACCGCATAAATTAGACACATTTGTTGCAGAGGGGTCAACAGCAACCAAGGTTTGAGGTGTGCTAAATTTCACAGAGCAGATAGACACAAAATGTCACGTTCTGGCAAGGTCTTCCAGTACGGCGAGCTGTCTGTTGGTCAGGCGCGCCGTGTTGGGAGTTGGGTGGGTTCAGAAAAGCTCCAGTGCTCAGAGCTTGTCATGTTCAAGATTCAACTAGTAGCATCATCATTTCATAACCAGGTAATAGCATTCCACGCCCTTAAGGCCTTTTTTCCTGGCCGTAGTACCAGACACGGAGTACCGCCTTGCTTCATTGTGCGATCTTGTTGTTACTAAGCGGCAGTGACATGGCTCGCACCATCCACAGCACTGATGCCGGTGTTATGTTCAGCATTGTTCATCGACGACAGGTCAGCAGTCAGAAAATGCAAAACAAATCGCCGGAATGACCCACGTGTTTAGCAATCTTGAAAGCAGCGGACATTTTGGCTTGGCAGGTTGGCGTGGTCACGCCCTACGTGGCACAGGCAGGACCAGTTCAGAAACCAGGTCATGGCCATATCCAGCAGAATGTGACGGGCTTTTGAACATTGATTAGACGCATTCATCCTGATACGTGTATCATATCCGCATGTATATCCATCCCGTGAAACCATGATAGTAAATATGCATATATACATATGATAAACTCACTTTTGCTCACTCAATTTCCGAACAGCGAGGTCCGATGGGAACAGCGCCACCCCTACGCCTCATGCCACCCCGTCCATAGGCCTTATCGCTGATGTGCACATGCAATACTTATCACGCACTGCAGCATGCATGTTTGGTTGATCATGCCATATGCTGAAGACGCATGAGTCAACCATTTCAGATTCTGTTGCTCCCGTTTTGGCATTTGCCTGAAAGGTACGCCGGCTGAAGCAGCTGTTGCGGCCGGCCATTTGGCAGAAAAGATGGAGTTGTATGCGTGGAGGAGTGCTTCTAAGCATTGCGCCCAGCCCTTTACTGTATGTTGTCTGTATTTATTTGTAGGACTATGTACTTGGCCTTTGACCAAGAGAAGCCCAATCGATCAAGATACGGTAATCGCCTCCGCCTAGTAATACATACACCCACCCCCGCCCTCAAAGAAAAACATATTCTCACCGGAACGGTATGAATTAGCAAAGTAATTAGGTTCTGGGTCGCATTTTGCGCTATGGTCCTCGTCCAAATGGGGAGCCCCCTTTCCGCACCCAAACATCATTTAAATCTACAAGTTCTGAGGAAGGAATTGGATAGCAGATCAAGGTATTTTTTCTGATCTGTCCTGGGTGTTGAATTGTTTAATCATTCGTTTAGCATTGGTTTGGTATTGGTTTCGTATCGGTTTGGTTTGGTGTCCGGCGGAGTTCTCAGGCATTGGTCTTGGTGACCCCCTAAGAAGACTCGGATCGGGCTTGGCGAGAAATCAGCCAGCTTAGTATTGGTTTAGAGTTCCAAAAGTAGCATTGGGGACCCCTCGGTCTGGAAAAATGTCAAGGTTCCGGACCTTCCAATGTACCTGAAATTTCTGCCTCCCCTGTCAATCGGCTGGTTTTTGGAGTTCGTACCTTCTTTTTTTTCTTTTTCGGGCTTGTCCTCTTTTTGGACCTCGAGCACTTTGTGCAAGGCATGGCTGCCAGGTCTTAGCATGACCTACTCGAGCATACATTGTGCAAACACGCCCGCAACGGCCCACAAAACGAGCGCAAAATCCGACAAGCGAGCACACATTGGCAAAGTGACACAAATTTGTGTTACGTAGGATTTGTGTTCAAGACATGCTTTTCTGCCCGATGCGTTGAAGCGCGCGATCCTTCAAAAACAGGGTGTTGTTTGTTTCAATCTGTTCTGAGGAAGTCGAGCAATTGCTACGTTGTTTCAAAATGCGCGCTCGTTTTGAACTTTGATTTCTGCGCTCCTTTCAGCGACCGATCATCTTGGAGGCCCGATCAGCTCAGTTTTGGGAAACACGCTCGAAGCATGAAAAAGCGTACGTGTCCCAAGTCTTGGTGAGGACCTTTGGTTTCGCACTGAGTTTGGGCTCAGGGCAGAAATGTAGATAAAGAAGAGACTGAAATATCGGGCGGAAAGTGAACGCAAGCTGCATGTTCCAGCAGAACAAGCGCGAGCAATAAGTATCAATTGTGCATGTAGTATTGAGAGGAAGTGATTGCTGTTGTTCCAGAGTGGCATCTCACAAAGGAGACATCTATGGCTGTTCTTACTTTGGTGTACCCACCATCCTCACTCTACACTGTCTCCTGGTGTTGCCGCATGTTTCACTCTTACAGCAAGTAATTGCCACTAGCAAACCATATTGTTGTTTGTGCTTGACCATCAAAGAGACCAACAGCTTCTACCTGCAGGTGTTGAAATTGCCCGCTGGATTGACAACTCCAATTGAGCAGCATTCCAAAACCCAGAAAGGTATTCGCGAGAAAGTATTGTTTGCACAAAAAGGTATTTCATGCTGCCAGAGTCGCCAGGGTTTTATAGTTTGCTTGCTCGCAAAAGGGCATGCCTGGTGGGGCTGAGGAGAGTTGCAATGGAGCAACTGGTGGCAAACCTCACAAAGCAATTTTGACGTGCGTGTCGTGAGCTTTGGCCCCATGTTCCTTCCAAGTTCATGAGTCGCGCGTCAAGTTTCAGTCAGCCCAAGCTTCCGCGCCTCTCATAGAATTAGTTTGTCCTAAAGCAGACTTCAAATCCGCGAAAGCGATTGCCTCGTCAACACATCTCGCGAAAGAAACCTTTCATGCCGCCAAAGCCTTCGCGGAAGGGGGTTTGATATGTCTCTTCGGCCGGAGCTGGGTTTAGAGCGCTGCTATGCTACCGCTAGCGCGTACATCGTCCAAACTTAGTGCCGTGACCTTCGGATCTTCGAATCTGTCTTGGGGGCCTCAGGTGCTGCCTCCTGGCGCGGACTTCCGCCTCTTGGAGTGTGCCTCCGTGGACAACTTCCAGGGCCGAGAGAAGGTCGGACTGTCGGATCTCGGCCAGGGGCAAGTGGACATGGCTCCTCGTGTTGAGAGGCTCGCTATATTTCAAACTTGGGCCCCCTATGTTACATTGACACAGACTCAAGATACTCAAGTTGACTTGAAGGGGGAAACTCCCTTCTTGAGGACAAGCGCTCCTGGATGAAGCCTAACTTGGACCATTCCAAACCCCGAGACTCAGTCGATGGGCTCGGGGCACGAGAAGAGAAGCTTTGTTCCACCCGTTCCCCGGTTGCTTGTTGACAGATATCTAGATTTGTGATGTCTCAGTATCGAAGCATCTGTTTTCTGCTCGAACAAGCTCGCGGATGACGCCGGATTTACAAAGTGCAATAGCGCTCGAACTCGCATGTTTGCAAACTGTGACTCCTGAACTACTACAAGGTCACCCCAAAGCTACTGAACAAATATACCACCGTTCAAGGCCCTGTGAACTTTCTTGGTCAATCAGGGCTTAGCTCAGCCCGAATCATGCTAATCAACCTAACCTTGAATCAATGCTAAGCCCACTCCCGACCTTCCCCCAAGCCGCCCTGTCAAGATTCTTCAGCAAGTAGTGTTGCCTTTGCATGCGGGGTGTTCTTCAGACATTTTCTGTCTGGCAGCAAAACCGCGGAGTGAATGAGTCATGTGGCATATATCTCACTCATCACAGTTTGCTTTCTGACCTGTGTCAGAAGATAATTGAAGAAGACTCATTGTTTGTTTGGGCTGCAACGTGTGGCAGGATCTCATCATTTTCTCGGCGGTGCGGAGCAATCGGGCAGGATTGGCCGTAGCATGTTTTGCATCAGCCTGCTGCATTGAAAGTAACCTCCCACCACGGTCCATGTGGCTTGGTGCTGGATGTCATGCAAGCTGGCAGTACGCGTGAGATGAATACCACAACAATAGAACCCGGCGCAAACCAAGCATTGTAGATGCTGAAAGTTGCAAGCCCTTGCGGCCCCGCTGGCTTGTGTAGTTGTTAGCGTTGTTGGTGGTTGCTGCAAAACCGATTTATTTAAGGAAGCGATGATACAAGAGTGATCAACCAGGACAATACATAGATATAGCTGCTTTTGAGGACTTTGCGGATTCCTTTTTCAAGGTTGGTTTGAAGAGAAATCAACAGCCAAGCCTCCGTTTTGAGATTCCCCCCAATTTAGACACATATCCATATGGAAGTGCCTGAAGGTCGTTTGGAGAAGGGCACACGTCATCCAGCAGGAGTCTATTCAATTGCATGTCTGTTTTTGGAAGGGCTGCATGGCAATGGCGGTATCAAGTGAATATCCAAGCGATTGTAAAAAATAATATGTAACAGCTACACTTTTGCTCGCCATCACTGGGGAGGTGGTGCGGCCTGCCTTTTACTATCAGGCATGTTTCCCCAACGTGCCTCGCAGGAAATGTCGGCTTTCTGGCCGATTGGCGACGACTGAATGCACCGGCCTTATTGTGCATTCACTCATTCAATTTGGTGCATATCCCAGACGCAGGACAGGCCACTTATAAAATGACCGTTGTTCTCAGTGGGTTTGATGCTACTGGCATTGTTGGCATCGTTTGTGTCAAGCCCAGTGTCAATGAGAAAGCTGATGCGCCCTTGCTGCTCCCAGCATATCGTCGCTCCTGAAGACCCCTTGACAGTAGGGTACTTTGAAGGAACTAGCATGGCACTGGTGTGTTCGTCAAGCACAATCACCGTACATCGTCTATTATTCCTGCCACTTCTAAGTGTCAGGCCAGCTGTTTGGATGTGAGGCCAAGTAACTTGGTTGCCTACGAGTGTTTTTGCTTGTTGAAGGCACCCCTTCTCGATATTGGGAAGATGTCGTTCAGAGTCTCAAAGTCTTCATGCGGTGCTTGGTTTTCCTCGCGCATGGATGTGGCTTTGTACAGAGCCCACGCCCGTGTTCATGTAGTGGGCGTTGGTCCAATGGCCTTGACAAAGACCGGTTTCGGGGAACTCAAATGGTGCCCTTGAACTTCCAGCTTCCCGTCCAAGGTCATGCTCACAAGAGCTCGCCGTGGACTGCTCATCTTCGGAAACTCGGAGACCTTGAAGCAGGCGCGAGACCTTTCAATGGGAATCCCCAAGAGATATGGGTTGCGAGACTCGTTGGAGCCTTGAACGCTTTCCCTTTTTTGCAGTCAGGCTGTTTTTTCGCTTGGAGGATGGAGCAGCTGCCAAAAGCATGTGTCTCGTATTGGACATACTCGGGTGGTTGCCACCCTTTCTGGGCGCTGGTGGCACCCTGGACTTGTATGCTTGCAACCCACATGGCTCAGCAATATCTCACCAAGGGTGTCCAAGACCTGTCGCGACCATGGCTTCACACCTTTGGCCAGGACCCAACCTGGGAGAAGTGGCTGGCCTTTGCAGAGAAGCACGAGTGCGTGGCATCTTGCCTTCAGCCAGCACCAAAGCGCATATTGGCTATGAATTCCATTGTGGGCACCCTCAAAAATGCTTGGGGCGACCATTGGAGGCCGAAGGGTCCCGAATCTTGAAACATTGCAGAGACTTGCTGTGAAGCCTCCAGCGGTTTCCTGTGTGAATGTGTGTGTGTGCGCCTATGTGTGCTGTGTGTTTGTGTGTCTTTGTCTCTTTGTGTCTCTATGTCTCTGTGTCTCTGTGTCTATGCGCATGATGTATGCAACATATCAATAGTTGGGTCTTCTGAGCTTAGACCGTTTTGGGACCCTTGGCCAGGTCAAGGATCTGCCAATGCCCTCGCCTAGCTTTGGCAAGGGCTGGCAAGCTCCGTGTCTTGGCAGAACACCTTTGAGCCAGTGTCGTGGGCTGCTGGTTTTGTGGGTGGAGGTATGGGTGAAGGGCTCCTCTCCTGATTGTATCCGGTGCTACATGTGGGTCAGGGTCTCAAATATCATGCAGAACGTTGCTGCTAGTTACGCTTCCGAGGGATCTAAAGCAAGCATGTCATCAGCCTTTGCTTTGCCTCAGTGATTTGTTGATTCAGCAACCTCACAGGGCAGGCTGGAGCCATATCAGCATTGAGCTGTATGGGTCATCTTTTGCAGTCCCACTCAGGCTTGGCAAAGGGAAGGCTCGGGGCTGTGCAATGGGGCGGCCGGCTGACAGACCAGGGGCGGCCGGACGTTTGTGATGCTTGGATGGTCGCGGGAAGTGCCCTCCTCTCCGCATAACAAGCCAGAGAGTCGCGTTTGGAGGAAATGATTTTGCGGGACCCGCAGTCAGGTTCCATGTTAGTGGATGGAGGGTAAGCCTTAGTGTGTTTTACGTTGGGCCTTTTGATGCCCGTCAAATGAGTAGCACCAATATTCAATGCTGTGACAGTTTGTATGCTTCCTTTGTCGCATGCGCAGTGTTACCATGTCTGCCTGATCCTGAAAATGCCTGCCGATGCAGCTAGAGCTCAATCCACAAAATCATGGCAAGGATGGTGAGATGGATCAACACTTGAGGGCATCGGCAATTGGGTGTGGGTCAAAATTAAACCACCAGGGGACCGCAGGTTTTGGTCCATGTTGCCACTTATCATGGTTCTATTTTGGGTACCTATTTTTGACCCACAGCGAATTGGCTTAGCTAAAATGCCCCAAGTGCCCATCCTGTCAGTTGGACAGGTGAAAGGCTCTTGGCAGCCGCCAGGGCCGCTGGGGCCGCCAGGCGCAATTTTCGGGCTCGGTCAGTGAGGACTTGGGGCGTTCCAAATCAATCCTCAGAACTTTATACCAGATGGTAGTGGCTTCCATTGTCGTAGTGGTGAGGGCTGGACGTAGTTGCCATTGAACTTGTCAAGGCCTGGAGCCAATTGCCTGGCTATTGTAGTAGGGGAAGCAATTTGAGAATGGAAATGCTGCCATCAACACTGCATTTGGCTGATCTCTGCCCGACATTTGACTAGTCTAGTGAGATGGTCAAGTCCAGCTCACAGAGAAGATCACGGCACGGTGAATAGAGATGGGACTGGATCTAACAGCACTCAACAACTTCTTTTTGGACGGTTGAGTTGGAGGGTGGCATTTTGTCCGCAAACCGATCGATTCGTGAGGCAGAAACCCAGCTGCTGCAGCTCAGGCGGCTCGCGCTGCGGCGGAGGCGAGCGCACCTGGACCTGGGTGCGTTATTGAAGCGGTTTGCTGTGGGGTTGGTGTGTTAAGGATGGGTTTGCTCGGGGGTTGGTGTGTTGATCATGGGTTTGCTGTGGGGTTGGTGTGTTGAGGATGGGTTTGCAGTGGGGTTGGTGTGTTGAGGATGGGTTTGCTGTGGGATTGGTGTGTTGAGGATGGGTTTGCTGTGGGTTGGTGTGTTGAGGATGGGTTTGCTGGGGGGTTGGTGTGTTTGGGATGGGTTTGCTGTGGGGTTGGTGTGTTAAGGATGGGTTTGCAGTGGGGTTGGTGTGTTGAGGATGGGTTTGCTGTGGGATTGGTGTGTTGAGGAGGGGTTTGCTGTGGGGTTGGTGTGTTGAGGATGGGTTTGCTGGGGGGTTGGTGTGTTGAGGATGGGTTTGCTTGGGGGTTGGTGTGTTGAGGATAGGTTTGCTGTGAGGTTGGTGTGTTGAGGATGGGTTTGCTGTGGGGTTGGTGTGTTGAGGATGGGTTTGCTGTGGGGTTGGTGTGTTGAGGATGGGTTTGTTGTGGGGTTGGTGTGTTGAGGATGGGTTTGCTGTGGGGTTGGTGTGTTGAGGATGGGTTTGCTGTGGGGTTGGTGTGTTGAGGATAGGTTTGCTGTGGGGTTGGTGTGTTGAGCATAGGTTTGCTGTGGGATTGGTGTGTTGAGGATAGGTTTGCTGTGGGGTTGGTGTGTTGAGGATGGGTTTGCTGTGGGGTTGGTGTGTTGAGGATGGGTTTGCTGTGGGATTGGTGTGTTGAGGATAGGTTTGCTGTGGGGTTGGTGTGTTGAGGATGTGTTTGCTGTGGGGTTGGTGTGTTGAGGATGGGTTTGCTGTGGGGTTGGTGTGTTGAGGATAGGTTTGCTGTGGGGTTGGTGTGTTGAGGATGGGTTTGCTGTGGGGTTGGTGTGTTGAGGATGGGTTTGCTGTGGGGTTGGTGTGTTGAGGATGGGTGTGCTGTGGGGTTGGTTTGTTGAGGATGGGTTTGCAGTGGGGTTTGTGTGTTGAGGATGGGTTTGCCGTGGGGTTGGTGTGTTGAAGATGGGTTTGCTGTGGGGTTGGTGTGTTGAGGATGTGTTTGCTGTGGGGTTGGTGTGTTGAGGATGGGTTTGCTGTGAGGTTGGTGTGTTGAGGATGGGTTTGCTGTGGGGTTGGTGTGTTGAGGATAGGTTTGCTGTGGGGTTGGTGTCTTGAGGAAGGGTTTGCTGTGGGGTTGGTGTGTTGAGGATAGGTTTGCTGTGGGGTTGGTGTGTTGAGGATAGGTTTGCTGTGGGGTTGGTGAGGATAGGTTTGCTGTGGGGTTGGTGTGTTGAGGATGGGTTTGCTGTGGGGTTGGTGTGTTGAGGATGCGTTTACTGTGGGGTTGGTGTGTGGAGGATGGGTTTGCTGTGGGGTTGGTGTGTTGAGGATGGGTTGGCTGTGGGGTTGGTGTGTTGAGGATGGGTTTGCTGTGGGGTTGGTGTGTTGAGGATGGGTTTGCTGTGGGGTTGGTGTGTTGAGGATGGGTTTGCCGTGGGGTTGGTGTGTTGAGGATGGGTTTGCTGTGGGGTTGGTGTGTTGAGGATGGGTTTGCTGCGGGGTTGGTGTGTTGAGGATGGGTTTGCTGTGGGGTTGGTGTGTTGAGGATGGGTTTGTTGTGGGGTTGGTGTCGAGAATCAGAATCAGACATGAGGCACTTCTCCAGGGCAAAGATGAAGGATAGTTGAGTTTAAACGCGTAGCCATTGTCCACTGAGCGGCTCTTGAAGCGGATGGAAAGGATTGCTCCGAGGGCATACAGGTCTGTGCAGAGGCTCCTGCTCAGTTCAAGGTCTGCTACCTGGTCACCCCGTACAATGTTGTGCATATCCATTGTAGGGGAGTTGCTTGAATCATGTTGATGCCTTGGACACGTGACTCGGCAAACCTTGCAGACTCTTACAATGAAGTTGTTTGGCAAGTGGGTGGTTACTGGTTGATTCGTTGCCGTTCAACTCATCCACTTGCCCTTCTAAGATGCTTCAGGTCTCCGCTGGTTTGCAGAGTCGTGCTCCAGAGGCAAGCTGAGTGGGGTTGAAGAATGCGGTTTGCTGTGCATATCCAGCATTCCAATAGCAACACAATGCTTTGGTCACAGGACCAAAGCGCATGCATCCTTGACATTTACGAGATTCAAAGCCAACTAATGACCTTGGGACTAGGCACTGAACTTAATCTCAATTTAAGAAGCACTCTATAGGCCTGCTGCAGCACCAATTAAGTGTTGCAAAATGTCACGATCAAACGCCGTCCTGCCCGTATCTATAGCATTTTTATTGTGGATTTGTGAGATGTACTCTGCGTATCCCAAGGAGTCTGGAAGTTGAGAGGATGAGTGAAAGTTGCCGGATTCCAGCGAACCCAAGATCAATCAACCCCAGTGTTTTTGGGGGTCTCTCTGGGTTTAGTGGGGATTCACATTTAGAGGGAACACACACACACACACACACACACACGCAGACCTAGGTCCCCCAGTAGTGCCCTTTTGCCCTTTTTTGGGGGAGGGTTCCCCTACTAAAATAGATTACAGAAAAAACAGGTACCCTTATTCTAACCTCTCTACTGGAGGACCTAGACACATGTTGCCTCTGTTGGGTTTCGGGTTGCTTCCAGCTTCAGGCGCGGCGAGTGCGGCCACCCCCCAGCCTCGCGCCAACCATGGCGCCAGCCATGCGCTTTGGCTGGATAGTAGCCTCCAATGACCCCCATGGGCCATTGAAGTTAACGGTTCTACTAGCTGGTTTCAATTGGTTGTATAGACGTGACAAGCCCAATATACCTTTCACTGGTAGAGTCAATGGGTTTGGGCGCTGCTCAACTGGTTTGAGCACTTTTCGGGGGTTCTCAAGATTGACCTCTTTTGACCATTTGAAACGGACACCAAAAGGAAGCCAAGTATCTTTGGGGGTCCCCTATTTCGAGAAAGTCCCTTTTGGGACAGTCAGTCGATGGCCTGGTTTTTGTCTCCAAATGCCCCACTCTACGGAGTTGCAATTGTCCGCCCGCGTCCGTCAGAGCTTAGAATTGCGTAACGTTGGATCCCGAAAACTCGCCTTTGCAAACGGGGGTATTTTCCAATCCAATGTGCACATTGTTGGACCCTCTTTACTGTGCTCCCCCGGGTGGAACAGTGGAATCAGCAAGGTTTCGGGGGGGACTTGGACTTGCTAGTACTTACTTTAGTATTGCCAAGACTAAATATTGTATTGCCAAGACTCACTTTCAGATTCCCGCAACTTACTTTAGTATTACCAAAGCCAAATTTAGTATTGCCAAGATTGACTTTCGCATTCCCCATACTTACTTTAGTATTGCCAAGTCTATATTTAGTATTGCCAAAACTAAGTCTAAACTCTCAGATTCCACATACTTGCTTTAGTATATATTGCCAAACTTAAATTCTGCATTGCCAAAACCAACTCTCAAATTCCCAGTATTTAACTTCAGTATTGCCAATTCTAATTTAGCTGGGAAGAGTCCGTTTTTGTCCAGCAACCCCCAAACCAAACAGTCACAGGATCTTGAATTGGGAAAACAACTTGCTAGAGGACCCAATTCCAATTGGGTCCAATATTAGCATTGAATCTGAATGCACAATCCAGTCGTGTCTTAAGTCCTTTGTCTTGGGAACGCGCCAACAGTTGGCGTAGATCTCAGGCAGATGGCGCTGGCTGCGCAGGAGCAGTGCCTGGGCAAGTATCAATCCGGGCGCGTGGCGTCAAAGTTTTGATGTGACCTTTGCAGCGTCTTGTTTTTACGGCACTCTGACAAATTCTCAGGTAAGCCTTGGTTGGTGGTTTGGTGGTTTGGGATTGGTGGTTGGGAATTTGAAGCCCTAGTCCTTGTGGATAAATGGAAAACGACTCCTCCACCAAATCACCAATCCAAACCACTAATTGAGAATCTGAAATTCACAGGAAAGACACGTGGACTGCTGAACCTATGCCAAACGAATTGAACCTGACAAAGCTCAGGCAGATGCAGGAGCACATGCAGCAGCCCCCTGGCCTTTTTTGTTTCTCTGGGTGGGACAAACTGGGGTTTTCCTTTTGTTGGGGTGCTCCGTTTTGGGGCTGTTTTCAAGGCGGGTGCTGTTTCATTTCACTAGACCCGCCAAGATTGGCCTGTTGATGTACCTGCTGGCAGAGCAGTTACTTGAGATGATGATTCTGATTTTGTTGCATGGTTTGATTGGTGTGGACATGATGACTAGGACTAATATTGGTTTGGAGAAGGTTGGCCGTGTCCCAGTCGCCTCAGTCCCAGTGCTGAACCGCAGGAAGTTTTGCAAATCCAAAACCAACTTGACCAGCACCAACACCTGCGCGTCATTTTGGTAGCACTCGACGCCACAGCAGCTTGTGCAAAATGTGAGCCTCCGAGTTGCAGGTTGACACATCACCATAGGTTGTTGGGACGTAAGTCACATGTGAGGACACAGCTGACAGGAAAGGCCTGCCCTGAAGTTGCTTTGCAATGGCACCCCCTTTCCAGGGAAGCGCAGCCGTGCAAGCGTTTTGATGCAAGCATTGGGAAGGTTGCGCTTTCTGTCGCAAGCGCAAGTCAGAACACTGCAAACCACTAGGATGTGTGTGTGTGTGTGTTGTTTTTTACTTCTGAGGGGGAACCATTTGGTGGACATCGTTTAGGTGGGGAGTCATGTCCACCAACCACTTTTGCAAGGGTTCCTATTAAAATTCATCGCGGCTTGTTCTTGGCTTGGTTTTTGTTCTTTCACATGGCTCAGCTTCCTAAGTGCTGAGGCTCAACCAGCTCGCCCCGCAGCTGCAAGAGTTTGGATGCAAGGGTTGACTCAGCAGCTGGGAAGACGATGCTTCTCAGCTTTTGCCTTTCAGGAGTGCAAGCAGTGCAAGCGCCTGAAAACCACTAGAAAGAGACCAACCGGCGGGTGTGCCCCTGGAAATCTCTTGTGCTGCACATTGGCAGCACTTCAGATGTTCGGACCGTTGAAGGCGTTTCTGTTTCATAGGCCCAATTCAAGTGTGACCCAAGTGGAAGCCGGCGACCGAGCGCTGATTTTGTGTTTCACGGACGTGCCAAGGAAGCGCAGCTCCAGCAACAACAGCAGCAACTGCAGCAGCAACAGTTTCAAGCAGCGCAGCTGCTTTTCGAGCCCTGGCTGGAGACTTCGTTTTGATCTGACAGCTGTCATGGGACCATGGCCGTTGGTGTTTGCGCGGCAAAATCAGATCTCCTGACCATCGTATGTTCTCAAGAGACCTTCGGGATTGGCGGGAGCCTCCTCAGTTTGAGGATATTCAAAGCAAGCAACTACGATTCGAAGTCTTGGGAGATGCAGGCAATGTAGGGGCTTTCGGCCATTCGTTCATCATGAGACTGAATCCATACTCAGAGGACAGAACAGATACCAGCTCTGCAATTTGTATTTAAGTTGTTTGACGTAGGGCTTTGAACGACTTTGCATGAGGCATAGGCTAAGACTTGCAATTTCTCGATGTATGCAAGTGCCGTGAAGTGGGAGAACCCCATAGCCCATGGATAATATTATCATAGAAGATGCATAGGGTTCCACAACTCAGCTAAACAAACAATTTGCCCTCTAGCTGAATGAGATGTCTGGGGCCCGGAACATGGACAGTGCAGATTCTCCCGCAGAGTCTACCAACGCAGGCAAGCACTAGCAAAGCTCGCTCAGTGTCACTCATTGATAAGTCCAGCAGCAGTGTATTTCTCTCTTGCATCTGTTGGGCCAAATCACAGCAGATTGTGAAGGTATCTTTGAGCTTCTTAGAAGCTCTAACTCAATCACTTAAGTTTGGACAAAGGGTGCGCTGATTCCCAGACGAGGTGAACCCCGTGCTGGCGCAAATGCAGCTGGCGCAGGTTCGGCAGGAGCGACGCAACTGACACAACTGAGGTTCTCTCCGAAAGACCACAAGATGTTTCAGGGTGGACTATTAGAAGTCCGCAAATTATGATATGAACAGGCTCAGAAGGTATCAGCATTTTCAGTTATGATATTGCGTTTTTTGGTGTACCCAAGGAATGACTGGCCTACTGCCAGCTGAAGGACAACGAGAAGTGGGGCCCACTCACGTTTCCCCAAGAACAGGGAATATTGTCCGGGGTGGCAATGTTTGCGGAGATTGGAACTTGGCTCAAACCCAGCCATTAGACGCTGGAGTTCAGAAGGTCTTATGACATATCCCACTCAACGTGTAGCTTGTTGCTCGGGATCCACGAACCAACGAGTTGTATTCTGTCGCGTTCTGGAAGTGATTTCACTTGCCCCTGAGCGGCGGTACACAATGGCTGTGCTCTCCGCTTCACTACCTGAGATGCCATTCCACATCGGCCATGTGTCCGCAGAAAACTTCAGCTCCTCACTGCCAGCCGAAGCATTGTCGCGCAGCGGAAGAAAGATGTCAGCAATCCAGAAGGGGATCGGAGCAACATTTGCCATGCATAGTTTGCTGTCACCTCAAAAAGTCCAAATATTCTCGGCGCTCGACTGTTTCAAAGCGAATCAAGGAACGCCCGATAAATTTTGACATTGGGCTATTCCAATCAATATGGAACCTGACTCAGGGGCTAAAGGTCTGGACCATTTACCTGGGACCCTCTACCCTGTGGTGACTCAAATTTACTCTTCTGAGGTCTGCTTGGGCCCATATGCCATATGCTACATTTTCAGGCTGACTAAATATGAGACATCATCTACAATATGTTGTTTTGTGTACCCTGGGGGCACCTTCAATGATTCAAGGAACCCTCTGGTGGATTCCCTGTGGAAGGGGAAGCTCCCACGCCAGGAACTGCCTGAGCTGCAACAGCGCCTGGAGCAGCAACTTGGACCGCTGGTCAATGTAGCTCATGCCGTTGTCGAACTGCCCAGGTACTGTGTTGGTGTTAATGACATGTTTCCTGGCAGAAGCGATCAATTGTTGGGAACTGGTTGCTTTGAGTTTTGGACAGATTTGTGGGCATGGGAGACCGAGGAGATCAGAAAGCATGGAGCAGCGTTGAGTTCTAGGCAGTGCGTTTTATGCAGTTAAGGTTGGCCTTAAGTTGTGCGATTATGACCATTTTGATACCAATCAGTTTTCAGTATGACTCAATTGCCCCTCTAAAAAAGCCCCTGGTCCAATCGGGGCTTGTTTGAAGAAGAGTGGGTTGGACAGGTGGAGGAGGCCGTGTGATGGGCACAGAGGCCTACAGACCAAGGGTAGCATGTAGCAAGGGGTGATGCGCAGGGTCACGGGTGGGTGTTATATGTGGATATTGTTGAATGACTCAATTTGATGCACGGTCCATTTTGTCAATCACCTTGTCCACCAGAGATGGATATTGCTCGGAGCGAGACCGATTGGCCAGTAAATCATCCACAAGCGCGCTCAAGGCTAGCTGCCCAAAAGCAGCAGGCTGCACAAGATGCTCAGGCGGGCCTTTTAGAGAGAAGTTCCTCGGTCACTCCACAGGTTGTCCAATATCCTCGATATCCTTAGGGGTCGTCAATAAAAGGTTCACTTTTTGGTATCCCTCGCATTCTGGCAGGTGGCAGCATCCAAAAAGGGGGGAGAGCCCTGCATTCGCAGCCAGGACGCTTCGAGGCAGCTCCTTGGCATCCAAAGTCGCGAGGCTGTCGCTCTCAACTCACGAGGCTTCGACGCCCGATTTCAATGACCTCACAGATTTGCCAGCAGAATCCTCCGCCATTTGCTCGCTGTTGGTTGCCAGTTTGATTTGCTCAAGCTCTGGCTGCTTGCGGTTTGCTTGCACAACCTTCCTTTTTCCAACTCTTTACCGGATTTATGGTGTGTTAGTTTGTTTCTGCTCCTGTGCGCAGCATGCGTCGGCGTGCGTGCGCGTGTGCTTGCGCGTGTGCCCGAGAGTGTGCGCGCGTTCGGTGCGTGCGTGCGTGCGTGCGTGCGTGCGTGCGTGCGTGCGTGCGTGCGTGGGTGGGTGTGGGTGTGGGTGTGCGTGTGCGTGTGCGTGTGCGTGTGCGTGTGCGTGTGCGTGTGCGCGTGCGCGTGCGCGTGCGCGTGCGCGTGCGCGTGCGCGTGCGCGTGCGCGTGCGCGTGCGCGTGCGCGTGCGCGTGTGTGTGTGTGTGTGTGTGTGTGCTTGTGTGTGTCTGTGTTTGTCAGTGTATGTGTGTGTTTGTCTGTGTTTGTGTCTCTGTGTGAGTGTGTGGGTGTGTGAGTGTTGTCTCTGTGTGTGTGTGTGTCTGTGTGTTTGTGTGTCTGTGTGTGTGTGTCTGTGTGTTTGTGTGTTTGTGTGTTTGTGTGTTTGTGTGTCTGTGTGTCTGTGTGTCTGTGTGTCTAATGTGTCCGTGTGTGTGTGTGTGTCTGTGGGTTCGAGCGTGCGTGCGTGCGTGCGTGCGTGCGTGCGTGCGTGCGTGCGTGCGTGCGTGCGTGCGTGCGTCCTTCGTGCATGCGTGCGTGCGTGCGTGGGTGGGTGGGTGGGTGTTTTGTTTTCTTTTCTTTTCTTTTTTGTGTGTGTGTGTGTGTGTCTGTGTGTGTCTGTGTGTGTCTGTGTGTGTGTCTGTGTGTGTGTGTTTGTGTGTGTGCGGGTGTGCTCGTTTTGAATTTTACTTGCGATCATTCATCCACATTCATCCGGACTTGCTTTGCATGCCCCAGCGTATTCCAACAGCACTCTTTCTGCGTGCAGCAGTTGCACTCATGAATTTGTACGCCCAATGTACAACCCTTGTTTTACGTTGTTGTGCATCACTTGTTTTGCACTGCTTGGCATTAATTGTTTTGCATCGCTTGGCATCGGCCCTACCAAAATACACTCTTCTGGCTGCTAGCGGCTTAGCGAGTGGCAAAAGTGTTTGATTCCGCGAGCAGCAGCGGGCAAGACACAAGTCAGCCCATCTTGCCTCACTTGAGGTTCCATGTGGGAGGGACATGAAGCCTCGGGACTCACCCAAATTTCCCAAACGAGGGGACAAGCCCTAAATTCCACATGTCCTGGGGAAACGCGAGATTTTGACCGTGGGTGTGGCTAGGTACGGCTCCCAGCCAAACTGCGAGGCACCTCGGCGCCGTTGTGGAAGCAGGTTCTACACATTCGGGATGCATGACCGTTGATGCATGTTGTAAGAAAGCAACAAGTGACGCGGTCAGGGTGCAGAAATTGTATTGAGTTTGACAACTCGCAGAACACTCTCCATTTTGACGCCGATTAATTGCAGCACAATTTGACAGCCATGCAGCGCATACGCTGGGTAAGTTTTGGATACCGGGTGCCAGCTGTTGAACGCTGGAAGGCATTTGTAATCTTGAATTGTTTTGCATGTCGTGTCTTAGGATTTGCAGCAAGAAAGACATCGGCACATGTCATGTGAACATGACAAACCATGTAAGGTGACTATGGTGACTCTGAAAGCACGTGGAGACATCCGCGCGTTGCAGTGATTCATTTGCGAACTTCTTGCTACAAGTGTCAAGGCTGACTCAGCTCAGGAGCAGAAGCAGATTGAGCAACTCCTAGCGCGCGAGCTGGGAGGGATGTGACGGTCGCTGCGAAGAAAAGAGCCTTTGGAGCAAAGACATTTGGGAGGCGCCCGTTTACTGTCAGATGGTTACTTGTCAAAAGAGGGGTGTTCCTTGATGGTGCTCTCAACACACATCCACATACAGATAAGTCTTACAGAATTCAGAGCACTGCTATTTGACTTGACAGGGGCCACAATAGCCGAGACAAGTGTAAGCTTTCATCGCCATAGGAGTTTGTGAGCAGCAACAGTGAGTAGCTTTGGAAGATTGATAGGTCAGCTTCCGCTTTCGTGTGCAGTTCACAGTTCAGCTTGATTCACCAGCTTCCTTTTTGTCACAATGAAAGTCAGGATCTTTGAGAGGCCCGCTGAGTCACAACTTGTGCCCACTGGATTGCGCCGCCCATTTCACACGGTTCACTCTTCGGAATTGTCCTTCTTCACTCGTATTCAGTTCCAGGATTCCAGGCCAATCCAGCATAGAGAGTGCAGAGTTCAAGATTTCGCCCGTTTAAGTGCACCAAGGAATCTAATGACATGTTCTTGCTCAATCATGGCCAAGAAAACAGCGAGTGATGGGTTCTTGCCTAGGGCTCCGATTTCCTCTTTGATCCATGGGGGATCTCTCCGAGTACACAGTCCTTCCGAGATTCCAAAGTCTTTGGGCGATGCTGAGAGCATCTCTTCCATGGTGAATGTCAAGGCTGGGGTCGCCTTGAACTTGGATGCCTTTCTTTCAGCCAAGACTGATACTGCTTGCCCCCCGCCGCCCTGCCCACTTAAAATGATACGGTTTGGACCAGCCCCGAATCTGAGATTTTTTTGAGCTTGTTCTTTCGCTTCTGGCCCTTCCCAGCCAAAACTGGAAACAGGAACCTGGAGCAGCTTGGGAGCTGCAGGGGTACACTTCGACATAAGCTTCTGGTAGCACCCCATTGCCTTTCCATTCCTTCTGGACCACTCACCCGTCTCCGCCGATTTTTTTGGCTCCAGCCCCTGGCCTGCAATTTCGACTCAGCCATGGCGTTGCTCCGCTCCGCCGCGCGCTTCAAGCACTGCTGGTCTCCAGGAGGGTGTCTCAAACTGTGGAGAGTTGGTGCTTCAAGGGCAACCAGCACTTGCTGCTTCTTCGGTTTCTGGACTTGGTGGGGCTTTTTGGGAATGAACTAGTGGATCCCCTTAAAGCAAAACGAGGGTTCAGTTTGGGGTTGAGCAACCTTTTTAGGAGTGAGCCTGAGATTAGGCCGCTCGCAAGTAATCGAGCGTTTTGAAGCTTCACACACGGAAAGCAACGGGTAAGCGGATTTCATTTTGCTCCAAGCCATGTATAAAATCCGGAAGGAACGCACTTGTTAGAACTCGTTTGAGGGTCATCCGATCACTGCATATCACTGCGAACAACGATAGAACACTTTTAGGATGGCCTGCGAGGTGACCCTTCATGTACGGCAAACGTAGCCTCTGCCAGACGAATCACAAAGAGCAGCAGCTGAATGAGCAGTCAGAGATTTCATGACTTGGACTTCTTTGCGGCGCAAAGACGTTCACTCAGACACTCAGCAGGTGACAAGCAGTACGTCGGCTGCTGGGAGGCGCGGGCCTCGGTCAATGAATGGAGATGGGTTGCAAGGTGCCTTCCTTGCGGTGAGTTTGTTACTTCTGGTTTGGAATTCATTGGCCCAGATGGAACCTATCACTTGGGGTCCCCGGCCTGAATCTGTCCTTTGTGAGTCCCATTTGATTCAATGACAGACCATCCAACCCCCCAAATGAATGAGTTCCGGCTTTCTTCACAGGTCACACAGTGTTTGCGCCCTGCGGGTACCACTTGAAAATGGAGGTTAAACAAAGGGCAGCGGGTTGAATTTCGAAGAAAACAACATTCATATTTGTTTTCTGGGGGCCAATGTTTCTGGTGAGGTCCAACATCCGGCTTTGGAGAAACAAAGGAGTCAGTCTATGTCAGCCTCCAATTTGCGCGACCGCCAGGTGGTGCCCCGAGTCTATGGCAAAGCTTTGGGCCCTGTCTCCTATGCTGACCGCCAGCCGGTGCCAAAGGACCGGGTGCCCAGAATGGCGGTTTTCCTTTTGGTTTCCATCTCAAACCAAAGAACAGGGCGTACCCTCAAAAAGCGATAGACCCAGATGCATGTGAATACAGCATGATCAGCATGTATCAGGATGGCCACGATTCGAGTAGCTTCGATGTGCGTGAACTGCGTCAGGGTCGCTCGGTTTGGTTTGACATCGACTCGGTTCGCCGATTCCGAGTCCACAGTTCTTACGGTTCATGGGACGAAGGAAAGATGTTTCATTCACCCTTCTGGTTCTCACAAGAGGGGTCCCATCGACACATGTTTGTCAGATTCCTCGGTCGAGCCCTGTCGAAACCCCGTCAAGCTTCATATAGCAAAATCTCCATGTTGGTGCTGCTATTTGTCCATGATCAACCCCAATAGCCCCTCCACCAAGCCGGAAGAAAATGGGCACCCGGGTGCTATGTTCGAGGGTTTTTTGCCAAGGGAAGGGTGGGCGGGACCTTGACCTGACGTGGCTGCGTGCAGACAAGTGCTACAGTCTTCAAACCCGCCACGAATATCCAAAGATTGAGCAGCACTTTTTCTGCGCACAGCAAGTCCAACTCTGTTATATAATAAACAGTTGAGACCTCTCTTATGGCAACTAGCCATGGGCCCTTTGCCCATGTTTCTCTGAATCAGGGAGGGCCAGAATCGCGTCAAATGAATGGACTGCAGCTTGTCGATCGGAAGATGAAAGCTCGACAGTTCCTCGAGCCTGGAAGATAATGCTTTAGCCGCAGGAAACGACGTTTCTACGAAATTCGGGCCGCCGCCGCCAATCGCTCAGAGGCTCCTCCAGCATAGAACTAGGTCCCTTGCATTGACATCCAAATTACCCTCAAAATGGTGTGTGGAAGGGAAATACCCCCCGCACTTCAATGGACCCAGTGGTATTTAACCCCCCTCACTTCAATGGTAGGAAGTATTCTTTCTTGACTTCCCGAAGCTGTGCAGGACTGGGTCCTGCGTGGCAGTGGCATTCATGGCCCAGAGAACGGCGAGGCCGCGCGCGTGGGAGCACTTGGGGACTTGCGCTGTAGCTGGCCACCGCTTCTGCCCGGCCACTCTGCAATGGGTCCAAAACCCCAAAAACGAACCCCAAACAACCATGGCGTTTTTGCTTGCTTCTGGTTTCTGCGCAAGCCCATCCAAAAGGTACCCTCAAAACACAAACACACATACACACAGACATGAACAACTGGCAAATTTGTTGAAGATCTACTGTTGGTGTGTGGCATGCTTCACACGGGGAGCCCACCACCAATTTTCCAACGTCTTCTTGGCACAGAACGTGTTTTGTTTGGCTCCCATGTGCTTGGTACTGAAAGCCTAGGGAACATGCATCCGGCATTTGGTGGTCTCTTACCCAACAAGGCGTAGCAGCACAAGGGCTCTCTACCGCCTGCAAAGTCCGAATGGGGTGTTCCACCCCACAACAAGAGGGGAACGACAAGCACCATCCTTGTTGATTTGTTTTTAGGACACAGGTGTTGACTCCTCCACACTGTTTTTGTTCGATCGAAATGCAAGAGGCTTGAGAGCAAGCCATGCTTTGAGCCCAGACCCGTGGCTTTAATTTGTTAACATTACTACGTTGGCCATTGGCGAAGCACACTCCCAGTATCAAGCTGGGCCTCGGTAACGGTGCTGGGATGAGTTGATCCTGTTCTTCCGCGTCATCCAAGTCCCTGTTTGTTTGGAGGCTTCATGTGGCTTCCCCACCAAGAATGGTCAACCCGAAAAAGAGTTGCCTTGAGCCATCACAAAACACCTGAACGAAGTCGCGTTTTTGAGGAAAGGGCTGAACGCCCTGGTCGGCAGAGTTTATCCCTTTGTTCTTATGGACATTCCACAGAGTAAACATGGCCATGTGTTTACCTTGAAATGCGACCAGGGTTGGTTGTTTGAAGAAATTGGGCAACCAACCACTTGAAAGACAATTTACAGTTGGGTGCAAGTGGATTGCACAATTCACCTGTTTTGGCTTAGTCATTCCATTTACCCACAACCGGCAATTGTGCCACCTGCTTTCACTTTGGGGTAGAACCTCTTTTTGGGATGTTGTTTGTGGCAAATCCAAAGGAAACCTGCTCAGATCGCAGTTTCCCGAATCGGTAATCAATCATGTTCCCAGGCTGGTTCCCTTGGTTGCCAAAAAGCCGGACAATGGAATCACTAACAGGAGATTTGGGAACAGGCAACTGGGAAACGGAATAGAGTTCGCTGGATCCATGAGCATACTGCTTTGGCTTGGGTGTGGTCTGGAAACCAACGAGGGTTCCCGGAACCCGCCATTTTGAGGTGTGCAATTCTTTAAGACCAACCGCAGGTAACTGGATTTGTGTCATTTTTTAGGGCACCCCCCATGCGTAGGGGTCCTTCGGTTTCCCACCAAGGAATCTTGGTACCTTCCAAAACTTCAGGCACCCCCAACAGCCTGCTGGGGTTCTCGGTTTTCTCTGTGGTTTCCCTCCCAAAAAACGTTTCCGCGGAGAGCGTCTTCGAAGGTGATGAAGCTGGTGCTGTGGAACCGCCTGAAGCAGAAGAGGCCGCAGCGCCAGGGCGTGGACGTGGCGGAGCTGAAGGAGTTCTTCCGCCTGGAGGAAGATCTTCTCGCGCTCGGGCCGTCGGACGCGTCGATCCTCCGGGTTCATTCGGGTCCACCTGGGTCTCACCCTGTTGCTGTTTAGGGGGAAAAGCGATCGACAAGTGGGGGTGTGGCCCAAACATTGGAGGTGTTCCTTTGGTGTTTTTGTTTAGAAAAAGGGAATTACCCTCAAAAACAGACATAGCTGCAGGAAAAAGCCAAGGTGAGACCTGAGCGCCAAGTTTTGACACCCAAGGTTCCTCCTGCATCATATTCGCCGCAAGTTGGAATCAATCCCTTCAGAATGTGTATGGCAGGTAGCATTTGCAGGTTGCAGCATGCAAGAGGCGGCCACTTGCAACACAGCCTTTTCCCTTAAGGGCTCAAACCAAAGGGGCAACCTCAAGCGCGTAGCGGATGCCCAGTTAGGTGAAGGGAGAGTTCGAGCTTGAATCACACAATCCCTAAATGAGCAGCGCCCAAAGCGTTTGCCATTTTAGAGGTTCTACCAGATCAAACCAGGATGGTGGCCTGAAGCCTTTAGCATGTAGCTAAGGTAACTGGGATTCGGGACTCCCGCCAGGTGGCTGTGATTTGGTGGATGTTTGGCCTCGTCTTCTTCGTGGCGCCCCTGAACTGGTGGGGCAAGAAGTACCGCCACTTGGACCACGTTCCGGGCCAATCCGCAGGGAACCCGCAGCAAGAGCGGAGGTTTGTGAAAAGCATGATTCCTGGAACAGACCGGCTCGAACCGCTCACTCGTGAAGGTGATTTACTTACGGGGTTCCGAACCTTTCGTTGTGGGCAATGGAAATTTGGCCGGAGGCTCGATGGGGCCAAGTGCTGGAGCTGGCCGTTTTGGTCGGAATATCCAGCTAGTCTTGGCGCCGACTTTGCAGAATTGCAGAGGTTTGCCTCACAGGCCAAAGTGCAAAGCATAATTTATGTATCATGATGTATCCACACAAAGACGAAGCAGAAATGGACAGTGTCCCAAAGTTGTTGAGGCAGCTTGAACTCAAGTCGCACCCTTTTGAAACCCAAATCATTTGACACCCTTGTGTTTATTGTAGTTCCCTGAGCGAACGGGGCATTCGATGATGGCGGGGAGATTGGGAATATGCTCGAAATAGATTTGAAGCGGTCAATTGGTGGGCAGCAATGTTGCAAACTCTGTCTCTCAAGGCCGGGAGCTTGAATCCGTATGACTTTTCAGGGATGCTAGTTAGCAGCCTTGCGGTCTTCACTGACCCAGGCAACATATTGGCAAGTTCAGTCTCAAAATAGGGGGCCTCCAAATTTGGTGGTTTTCCAACTGGCTGTCCTTTCAAACAGTGAAACTTTTTCCAATAAACAAACACACCTGCATGTAGACCAGCCACAGCTTCAGGCATGGTGCACGACCACTACCCCTGGATGCCCGCTCGCAACGATGGCACCCAGGGTGTCGGGCGTGCTGGCTGCACTCAAGAAAACAATACACGTTGCTTGACGTGCAGTTTGGAGGTCGTTCGCGAGATGCAACATCAGTATGTGGGTGTTCATCAATATGTTTGTCCCCCAAATGGCCTAGGGTAACTTTTTCCATTCAGTGGGACATATCACCTTTTTAGTGGTTTTCCCCAATGGTCATCACATGTAAACGACCTTTTGATCAACCACCGTGTGTCCTGTTGCTAATCGAACTGAGCGATTCGTTGTTTTCTGGATGTAGAAAGCCTTGTTTTGTCATAGTCACATAGTCGCCCCTGAGTTAGTGGTGATAGATTAGCCACAGCCACAGTCACATTGCTTTTCCGGGACCAATATGGCACGATTTTGAACTGCAGCCTCAGCCACAACTGCTTCAAGCTCAAGCCGAGGCCCTTTGGCTGGTTCATCGAGTGAGCAGAACCCGCCATCTGCACCATGCAAAGAAGAGCAGCCTTGGAAAATGTCGGAGGTTCGGGGCGCGGTGAAGGCAGGGGGCAGAGGTGATTGTAGTGATCGCTCTTCATTGCATGATGCAGGCTTACCCAGGCAACCTTTTCATGTGTCAACATGTTGGCTCAGCTCCCACTGACAAGACTTGCAGTCCATGATCTTACCTGTGAGTCGCTTAAGCTCACTGTGATGTCAGCTGTTTCGCTTGGGATTTGTGTGTGTGTGGCGTTCTGATTGCTGCCCGTGCCACTGGAAAAGAAGGCCGCCATGCAACTTGCTTTTGTTGGTGTGAAACAGATTTCAAGGGTTCATGTTGTTGCTTGTTGAACAGAGTTCCCTCCCAATTTCCAGCAGCACGTGTATGTGTTTGTGTTCGTATGGCCAGGGTTTGGGCAGACCGAGAATCAACTACTCGCAAGTGCCGCCCCAGATGGCGGAAATATCGCAGCTCCTGCCAGAGACACTCTTCAGACACTCAGCCTTGCGTCGTGTGCTGCTTCGTGTTTGTGGGCACAGGACATGCTATCATGCACTCCCATACTCCCACCTGCTGTCCCGCTCGGGAGCAAAGAATGGCAGGTTCCACTAGACCTTGCAGGGCCTCGGGCCATCCTCATATATTGACTTCCGATAGATTATAGATTTGTGCATGGAGTGACACAAAAGGTGACCGGGACAGTGCCAAGATTGTTTCCAAGAGACCTCGCTTTTGCTGTTTCGCTGTCCAATTGGAATGGCCAAAAATTGCAGATTTGGAAGCTCTAAGATGCTTCTGGACCAGAGGTGTCATTGAGTTCGATGGAGTCAACGGCCTGAGATAACATAGCCCCTTGAGTGAGGAATAAAGGAAAACCGCCCCCGCTTGTTTGTCCCAGCGGCCCTGAAGGGCAAAGTATCTTGTGGTTGCATCAGAGGAAGCTATTAGAAGTTTAAGGCTACTGGCAACCCAGGCGTGGAGGCTTGTAGTTTCCTGCTTTGATCATCTCCAGGATGTTTGCTTGGCTCCAGCTTGGCTCTATATTCCTGCATGGCCTGCACGTGGATCATGTGGACGAGCACAAAGTTTGTCTCCACCCAAAGTTTGCCGAAGATGAGCTGGCAGACTTCAGAGAATAGCACATCGGATAATCAGGTAGGCAATCGTTGCTTTGGAAACAGTCCTTAGGTGGGTCTGTTTTTGAGGGCACCCTTTTTTGTAGCTTGTAAAGGGAAACCAACAGGAAGGCCACCATTTTTGGAGAGTTTGCTTAGAACAGACACCCCCACTTAGCAATGCCCCGAAGAACCGTGTTGTTGTCTTGGTCGACTGCAGGCCATGGATCTAAAGAGTTGGAGCCGCCGGACTCAACTGTCTGGTGGACAATCCCCCACCCAAATTTTGCCCACGGGCCCCTTTTGACATTCATACCCATTTCTGAGAGCCGTTGGCCATGGCCCGCGATGAAGAGGATTGGGATGATTGCTGCGAGCTGAGTTGCCACAGCTTCATCCTCAGGTTTGTTTAAAAGTAGGGGAATCGCCAAAATGGTGGGGTTCCTTTTAGCGTTCCCTAGAAACCGCACCCAAAGGGGATTCCCAAGAAGAGACAGCCACTTGTCAGTTGGGATAGTCGCTGGCAGCAGCCTGAATGGGACAACATTGCAGGAGCTGATGGGTGCTGATCGATGACAGGTTGCATATGAGAACCAGCTCTCGGGGGAAAGGAGCCCACCCATGTAGGTGTTTCACCGTTTTGGGAGTTACCCTGTCCACTGCTACCCACCAGAGCTTCGGGAGATTGGTCCAAGACAACTCTTCAGTCGAGGCGCCGTCGCTGGCTGCGGCGCAAGCGCAAGAGCTGCAGGCGGCGTGCGGGCTAGCCTTAGGTGTAAGCCAACTCAAAGGCACTCAGGTTTGATTCTTTGCGGCGGCGAAAACGTGATGTTAGAAGCCGTAGTAAAGAGCAAATTCCAGAAGCAAGAAGAAACAAAAATTGAATAGAATAGATTCAGATGTCCCAAACAGAAGTAGTTCATACTTTGTGCTATAAACTGCTGGCAAGAGAGCTAGTTCGGTTAATTAGTTTGTTTCTTCGGATAACACTATGTTCTTTGGCGGGCTTTTGCTGATTGAATGAATGGGTGTGTCTTTTTGTGGGGGACCCCCCAAAGAACAAATGGTTCTCCTGTTGGTTCCCTTTAAAGCCAGCAAAAATGGGGTACCCTCAACAAAAGCACTCCTGTCGCTAAAGCAGCTGCTCTGAAGGGATCAAGCGCTGCATGCCTTGCCGTTGGGCGACGAAGGCCTGTTGATGTTGTGTGGTAGTGGTGCTGGGGGGTGGATGTGAAGGTGGAGGCCAAGGTGGAGGTGGTGGTGGTGGTGGTGGAGGGGAGGCTGGGGGAAGGGGGGGCGGGGAGGGTGGTGGTGGTGGTGGTGGTGGTGGTGGTGGTGGAGGGGAGGGTGGGGGAAGGGGGGGCGGGGAGGGTGGGTGGAGGGGGCGAGAGGGTTTGGATGGGGAGTTGTGGTGAGATGAGTGGCGGGTGAGGGAGGGAAGGGAGGAGTGGAAATTTTAAGGACAAACGGGGAGGGAAGGTAGTTTGAGACCCTTTGATGAATTTGCAAGTTTGCATTCACGGTGCAAAACGAGCAAGTTGGCAAGAGCGCAGGGCAACAGCAAACACACAATCAAGAGCAAAGAAACAGCAGGTCAATTGGAAATCACAGGAAGAGCTTCAAGACATCCGTATAAACGGTAACTAAGGCAAGCACGAGAAATGCAACGTGTGAGAGACGCCTGGCAATGGCATGGACCCCTGTTTTGCAGGTGTGCGCTTTGTGCCTGCCGGCTGGCAAGCGAACACATTGTGAACGCCGGGGGATATGCATTTGGGTCTAGCAGTGACGCAGCAATGGTCAATCAATCATGCTGCGCATTTGAACACCAACCAAGTGGCATGAAGCTTTCCTCGCTGCAGGCAGACCCGTGCGACGCTCACATGGTGGAGAACTTGGGATGGCTCCAACAGCGCTTTGGCGTGACAAGCGCCAAGCGCTTTCCCAGTTGCCGACCACTTTGCATTTGCTACCTGGAAATTCCGGAAAGCATCTGGGTATGTGTCAAAACAGGGGGACTCCGGAAGTGGTGGTTGTCCTTTATGGTGTCCCTTTTAAAGCCACCACAAAGGGCTCAAACAAACAAACACACGCACAGACACACACACACAAACACAAACACAACCATTAATTTTAGAATTCCAGCTCAATCAAATTTCAGCACCAAACCAAGCCGCTACCGGCGCTTCAGGGTGTTTCGTGCTGTTTGTCGAGCCAGGAACATAGGAGTCACGCGCAAACCAGGTTGAAACATACCCCTTCAATGAGCAGGAGATGTGGAGCAGGAGAAACGAACAATGGACAGAGAAAAACACATGGGTTGCGAAGAGGCTTGAAGATGCATCCAAGCAGCTGTTGTGCAAACAAAGGGGGCTGTGTCGGCAGCACCCTCGCAGAATGAAATCAATTGATAGGAGGAGCTGCTTTTGAGGAAACACCATGATTGTTTTGGAACCAGGGTCAACTGCCGAAGGATAGCAGAAGGAATCATCAGAATTCAGAATGCAATGTCAACCTCGGACGAATTCGAACATGCTGATGAGGGGGCGGATTCCCTGTAGGTATCAATTCAGAAGCTTGCATTCAGCACCGGCGCGCTGCGCTCAGGTTTCGCCTTCCGCAGTGGAAATAGAGGTCTCTGTTGTCTTTTTTGAGGTTTCTTAGACCTGAAGCCCACGTGGGGCAATATTCTCTGGTGTTGTGTTCTTCCGCGCTCTGGGGGGGGGGGGTTGCAGCATGTGCTACCTCAAGACCGCGGGTCTGGGGAACAACTCTCCAGACATCGAGAAACACCCCGCATTGATGTGTTTGCCACACCCTTTCAAGTTGAACCAACTCAAATCCACAAGTTTTTTTATTGGCCCTGCAAAGCTTACACTTTGCACGTTTGATATGGACAAACGGTTCCTGGGGGTAGGCGGTGAGCGCTTGAATGAAGCCTAGGTACATCGAGATTGGCTTCTTCACGGACTACCGAAATCAAGCCTGGCACTACTATGCAACCAATGAGACGAGCTATGCATCGTGGCTGCACCAGTGAAGCGGTTGAATTGACCCCACGCCCCTATTCAGGATTCTGCGTTATCAGATCTTGGCTTGCGATCGGCAGGCCTTCTTGTGGCTGAACTCCATCTCCTATGCCAACCTGGACTTCCTTCGGGAGGTGGGCACGGGCGCTCTGCATACGTGTTTTGCCGCGTTTTGCCTTTCGGAGAATCGTTGGGCAGGCACAGAGCGGCATTGCGGAGAGGGGAGCTGAAGTTGCGTGGTGTTGGGTGTTGGTGCCGAGTGAGCGTTCCTGGTATCGATTAAGCTAGCTAACCTTGCTGTCCGTGGAACGTTGCTGATTTGAAGTAAAGAAGACGCATAAAGACAAAGATGTGCAAAAGAGGCACGAAGGCATGAAGCTGCACGAATGCGTAGGAAAGCACAGATGCGCCAAGACCACTCTGCGTCACGACCTACCGCTAAAATACTGCTCTTTGACATTGAAAGTCTAACCATCATGGTGGTGCACTGCATATTGGATTGTATCATAGCCGTTAGTGGGGACTGGCTCAAGTCTAGCAATTGTCCGAAATCACTGCAGAATGAACAAGTTAAACGGCGCTTCATCCACATGAGCAGCAGTGCGCACAATGTTCCGTTAGTATGACCTTCAGGCGATCAGAGGCGAAACAGACAAACAGAAAACACATGCATAAACGATGGGAAGTTCATCTGAGAAGCGGGGAACAAGCTGAGTGGCCAGCCGAGCCAAGTTTGACCCAGATAGAGAAAGAGGAAGCGCAAAACTTTTCAAAGGGAAGCAGGTGTTGTTCTTTCTTAGCACACTCATCACAACGCAAGTAGGCACGGTGATTATTGTTCTTGCGGAAGAATTCACAACCACAAGGAGGAAAAGGACATGCCACCACCAGAGAGGTATCCCAAAACTGTTCTTGAGGTTTCTTACAGGTTGGTATGCACTTGCAGGACATATTTGAATCTCCATTGACAATGTCATGGTGAAGATTTGTGATGCAGCAGGCAATCACGGTTGGTAGGCACTTCCTGGAGCGGTTCATGCCGGATTGGACATCTCATGCTTTTTTCCTCAAAACAGAAGCATTTAGGATTTTCTTCCCATGGGAATGTTTGATTAAACAAAGGCGTGCCCCTTTCCCATTTTCTCGTCCAATTTGCCCCAGGCATGTCCTGCCGCTGCGGCGCTTGCCCTTTTGCTACGAGCAGAGGAGCGGGAGAGGTGACTGAAACTGGGCCACATGGGCGCAATGTCATGTATGAAATCCGATTTGAATACTGGGAAACCCGCCCACCAACTAGTGCTGGATTTCTTCATTGATGATACATTCAGCTGATTGGCTCGATGTGACATTCATTGTTCATCGCACATTGAGCTGGCATCCAACCGCTTGGCAATACGTATGCTGAGTTGCATACTGGTGATGTGCAAACACACATTGTTTTTTGAGTACTGTACTGGTCATGATTGGCTCAGCATTCTTGCTGTGATGCAGGATGAGACAACAAAGTCTTTTTTTGACTTGATTTGTTGGATGTGTTGGCCGGGCTTCATCCTCCCTCAGACTTGTGCCTCAAAAACATGAAGCGGCGATCCAGAGATTCTTTTAAAAGATGCGAAGGCCGTAAGAGCAACCCATTGTTGCGGAAAATTGGGATCCAGGGCCACTTGCCAAGGGGCGTTGCCTTGCAACAGCACCCCTGCGCAACTGTGAGTCTCGGCCTGCAGCAGCACCATGCAAGAGTCCTGCGGCAGCACTTTGCAACAGCACATTGCAGAGCATTGATGCGCAAGCTGTGAAGCTTAGTAGCGCGGGTTGGCTTGGAGTTAAAGAAAACATATTATGATGTTTGGAAGCCTTTTGGCTTGGATATCCTGGGGCTATGGCCCACTGCAACATCAGACATACCCGTATTTGAACAGACGATATGCAAGAGCGATGCCAGCCCTGAAAAACAACAACGCAAACACATGCGGGAAGCGATAGGGGCTTCCCAAGTTGGCGGTGTTCACTGCGGATAGACAGCCGCACACTCATGTTGAATATCGTCCTTGCCTTCAATTCTAAGTCATTTGGGCCTCCAAAACAACCTGAAAAGAGAGAGAGAGAGAGAAAGAAAGAGAGAGAGAGAGTCAGCCAAGTTCGGCCTCCACAGGAGAGGCTGCCTGCGCGGGAGGCCGACCTGCCGCTGCTGGAGCTGGCGCTGCAGGCCTAGAATGGTTGCAGGAGACAAAAGCATGGTTGTGGGAAAGGGTTTAAGGACACTTAGCTTACCTCGTCGACTTTTCCCTGGGCAAGAAGCTTAACCTTGTGCAGGGTGTCGAAGTCTGGCCCAGCTCTTCCAGCCAATCCCATTGAATGTGATCAATTGGGGGCAGTACCACAGTGATTTTCCACAACCATGGGCGCAATCAAAACCTGGGTGGTTGAAAATGAATAAAGATTCTCGCATGGTTTTGGGTCCTTGTTACAAGGAAGTTCAACAAGAACTTCCCCAGTACTGGAGCAATTTGAGCTAGCTCGCCCTGAGAACGCATGCATTTGCGCACAGCAATGGCAATTAGATGTAGTTGTTTACCAAGCTGCGAAAAAGCTGGAAAGCCTGGTGCTTGGGAATAGACGTGGGCCGAAATCATGACCCTGTGCGAGAATTTCGCCCTCGCGTATGCGCATTTTTGCGGACGAGGGCTCAGAGCGGGTTCTAAGCAGTCTCGGAGAAGGGCTCATTCACACGGCAGCGCGCACTGGTTTTGCAGCCCTTCAAAAAGTGAACACTTTGCGGGTCGGTGGTTCGCTCGCGCAGGTCCAGCAAGAACGAGAGAGAAAAAGAGAGAGAGAGAGAGATAGAGAGAGAGAGAGAGATAATTCATAACGATAAAACAAGAAAGATAACGACAAGGATAATGTGATCGAGAAAGACAAAACAAGATGAGGAGAAAGAGGAAGATAAATCAAGAGACAGAGGGAGAGAGGAAGAGAGAGAGAGAGAGAGAGAGAGAGAGAGAGATAGTAGGGAAGAAGAAGAACAGTGCTTCAATCTATAGCGCGTAGTTGTTTACCCTTTGCTTGAACCAGGTCTTCATTATGACTCCAGCGCAGCAGACATTTGCCTGCGGCAAGGGGCTTCTTGCATGCAGAACAAGAACTAAGCCAGCAATTTGTCAGCGAGCCATTTTGATGTTGAGCAGCAGGCCAGATGTCCTGGGCCTTCGAACCATCCGCTAGCCAGCGCTTGAGCGACCTTGCCCGAAAGAGGCCTTTCGTGTGACTGTATTGCTGCCATCTTTTGCATGGCATCCCGAGGTGGAGCCTTCGGGACTTTGGCCTCTCAAGGAGGGCCTCGAGCGGCTGCGACGCTTGGTGCGACGCATGGCCCTGCCCGAGGCCAGGAACCACGGATTTGCCGTTTGGCAGGTGAAAGTGAGGCAACCTCTTTCTTTTTGCGGCATAGGCCCCGGCATAGGGAACCAACTATGAGTTTTTGGGAGCTTCTGTGATACCAAGGGAACCCCCTTTAAGGTGAAAAGTAGTAGGAACCAATCACTAAAAGGTATCACCAATTAGCATGTGGGACTGCGAGTTGGGAACGGACCATCCCGGTTTTTGAAGGGGTGAGGGTCTTGATGGGTTTGAGGGTTTGCGTTTGGACTTCGGACTCGGCTTTTCAAGGTACCAGCTTCAGGTTGGTGTACGGCAAGCCTTGCTTGCAGATTCGGTTCAGATTTGGAGAAAACCGGGTCTCTGCTGTTTTGAGCCCCAGCGTGTCTTTGGGGGCTGTGAAGCACAAGGTCAAATGGCGGTCAGATTGCGGGTTTGGCTTGAGAACCCTTTGGAAATTCGTACTGATGCCCAGATTTCTAGCAGGGCATTTCCAAACTTCTTTGGAGGGTTCCCTTCAACATCAACCAACAAGTCACACTAGTTTTCCCAAGAAAGTCCACTGGAGGTCGGGGGATGCGATTTGCACGTGTGCAACACGCTTTTGAACTGTCCCTTTGGGCCCTGCAGTTGTCCTTCAACCTTGAGTGGACCCAATAGATAGCACTGGTTTAGACTGGCTTTATTCCATTTACCAGGGCCATGTATGTTTTCCACAAGGTCACATATATATGGAGTGGAGGTTCCGCAGAATGCCTACTTCAGATGGGCTAGGGAAGTTCAGTTTAGCTTGGGTGGTTTGATCAACCAGATTTGTGACTCACGCAGGAATACACCGTGGACGTGGTGATGCCGTGCCCTGGCTACTGTTGGACTAGACGTGTATGGAACGGAGACGTTTCTTCTCCCATGCAAACGCTGAAGCGCAAGCAGAAAATATGCTCAGCACGTTGCTCTAGCCACCATGTCAGGCTATCTGGGGCAGCATTCAGAAACCAGGCGGCCCACCTTGCTTGGGCTTGCTTCGCTTTGCCTTGGCAGGTACTGCAACGAGCCCTTGGATGGTTTGCTTTCCAAGAAGACGGGCTATGAGGAGGACTGGCTTGCAGGCCCAGCTCCTTTGAGGCTGGTCATGTGATTTGAGGTCAATCCTGCTATTCGAGCTCATAGTGCTCTTTTCCTGTCTCACACGCTGGGTGTTGTAGAAGTAGTGGTTTGGGTATCTCTGATTGCAGCAATGAAGTGCTTGCAAGATATGACTTTCTGGGGCTGTTCACTTCGCTCGCGCACCCTTTTGCGGACTTTGGGCGGGTTGACATTTGTGTTGTTTGTTTCGCTTTGCTTGCGCAAGCTCTTGCCCAATTTGAGCATGGCCGATTAAACTGAGTAACGAACTAGTTTAGCATTTGTCCAACCAAGTCACCAACAAACTCACGAGTTCACGCAAACTGAGAAAGTTGACACTTAACTAATTGCTGCAGTGAGACAAAGTAACAAGAAAGCAACACAAGCAAGCAAGCGAAGGACATCTACATATTGGTGGTGAACCAACTCACTCAGTACCTAAGGGATTACCAATCAAAGAATGAACAAACTTCAAACTATCTGACATACTAAACCCTTTCCAACTGCTTGCATGGCCGGCCAACTTCGTAACAGACTAACACGCCGACTAGCTAGCCACTGCCAGCTAGCCTGACTGACTGCTTACCTTGCTATCTGATGCGCTGACTGCATTGCCAGCTAAGTAACACGCCAATTAACCTGCTAGCCGATTGACTAGCAGCTTCCCAACGCAGCGGCTGGCAATCCAGCCAACTGACCAGCCATCTGGTAGGCAACTTAGATAGACCGGCAACAAATGTGGCCGATTAGCCTGCCAAATAGCTAGTGAAGCTGCAAGCTTGGCGGTCAAGCAACCAACGAACCAGAGCGCTTGCTGGGTGGCCAACTCACTCCACTCCATTCCGTTCTACAGTCCACCACGATGTACTTCACTGTACTGCACTACATTTCACTCCACTTTTTGGTCACTGGTGGAGTGACCGATGGACTGACAACAGAGCGTTGAGTCAACCAAATACACCAAGACAGCCAGCAGTTGATCAGCTAACAAGTTGGTCGTAGCACAGGTGAGGCACCTGCTGCGAGAAGAGAGCAATCACGCCCCCGGCGCGCAAAAGTCAGGCTTTGTCCGGGTTCCCAAACCTAGGCATGAAGTTACAAGGAAGTTTCCCATTTTATCCAACAGCTTCCAAGGGCTTGGGTTGCCATATCATCTCCATCGCAAGCTGTGTGCGATCCACAAACAACTAGAACATGTCCTGCCCCAACAATCGCAGCCCCAAAGGCGAAACAGCAAGATGTCGAGGAATCCTCAGCACGCAGAAAGGCTGAATATTTCTGGGTGATTTTTTAGCGACCTCACACGACCTCACCCCAACTGATGAAATATTATAATTAACCTAAATATTTGCAGTAGTTCGAAGGGCAAAGCACATGACGGAGATTAAGCACAAGAGTATTTGATGAGATGAGATGCATTCACGCAGCCAGAGCTCTAAAGCGCCAACGGGTACTTGAATGCCTGAAACCTGACTATTACCCACACACCCCGCTCCGACACTTCCCCCATCCCGCCCTCACTCACGCCCACCCCGCCCCACCATACCCCAAACCATAGGTCAGAGCCATCTGAATCTGATGCCATCAAAGCACGCAAGCTAAGCTCGCATTCGCCTGTCAGCTTGCCCACTAGTTGGCAATTTAGTTTACTGGCTGGGCGGCTAACAAACGCTTTCATGCTGGCTGATCAACAAGCCGATACGCCAACTGACGATCCAATTGATTTATCAGCCTCCTGGCTAGCTAAGCAAGTGACTACCTGAGGAGAAAATAGTGACAGTTGAGTAGCTCACTGGGCAAGGCACAGGTCGTTGCAGCGGCAGTCAGTACGACTGGCATTTTGCAAGATAGTGTTCACGTACTTGGTCAGCTCGGTAATACCCAATCAATTTATGCAGACAGGAAGGCATTGAAAAGAGTGTTGTCTTTGAACAAAGTCCTTGATTCGAAACAATCATGCCCCTTCTGGAAAGCTCCACTTAGACTGAGACTTGTTGCATCTATGGTGGAACGCAATTTGTTTAGTACTGAATATGTTGAGTGATGTTGAGTGAATTTCGCTGCCTTCTGCAGGCATGCCAGGCTGATCCTCTACCGTCTTACAGACTGCTTCTCTGCGCGATACGCACTTCGGAACGAGGAAGCGCTGGTCGCTCGTCATGCAGGTCTAGGACATTGGCATCATCTTCTGTTAGCACTGTTGTTTTGTTTTTTGCCAGTTGCTACAACTGTCACGTGCATTTCACAACAGCTTAGAGTGGTGCATCCCGCATTAGAGTCATCCCCTGTAGGAACATGAGCTCAACGCGAGCGCATCCAGATTCTTCAAAGCAAACCTCCGTGTTTTATCCTAATTACTATCTCCACTGGCAAAGTTACATTTCTGGGGAGCGTGCTCGTACTTCAGGTGTTTTCGAGCGACCAGGTCGTCAAGTTGTCAAAGATGGTGCTACTGACGTATCTGGGATCTGTCAGTTTTTTTGTTCAATGGACCAACCCACCGCGACCCAGTTCCCAGACACATTTGAAGTCCTGAAACGCAAGGATTCCTTGCCGGAGAGCGCCAAAGTTGCCGCGCGGCTGTTTGCACAAGTGGAGGTGCCTTGGGATGGACATCGGCTCTAGGGTAAGCAGTGCGATGAATTTTCAAACCACTGGTAGGTGGGTGTGTCTTTTTAAAGGGCACCCCTTTTGCATGTTTAAAAGGGACGCCAAAAGAAAAGTGATGCCTTTTTGGGGGTCCCCCAAAAGACAACACCCGTATGACTCTCATGACTTTGGCGTGTTGAAAGGTTCCTAGGCCATGCTCTGGTCAGAGGGGAGCGCACGCCGGTTCAACTCGTCGAACAGAACAGACAGAGCAAAGGGAGTGAGAATTTCACAGCTGAGTTCCGAATCCCAATTACTGTCCAAACAGCCGTGTTTTTTGAAGGGGGGGGGTGCTGGCAGCATCGTTTGTTCTTCTCTCGATGTGAGCCAAGCATCAATCTTTTAGATCACAGATCGCTTTCAACATCGAACAGAAGGACTGGAGGCTGGATCGTTTTCTCGAGTCCCATGCAATTTGGTAGCGTCTTCGAATAGCCACCCCCCCACAAAAAAAAAAAAACAATGCTGGTGGCGTTCTTCTTGGTGTCCCTTGAAACCAACCCGAAAAGGGTACCGAGCCAAAGATGAGCCACCCATTTGCCGGCGAGTCGGGAGGTGGTGCCGGTGGATCAAAGCCCAAAGGCCTGGGAGTCGGCGAGATATTTCTTGAACCTCGGCAGCGAGCTGGCAGCCTCAGTCAGTTGCTAGGTCAGCTAGGTGCCCTTTCTCACCCCTTTTTTGGGGGAGGGTTCCCCTACTAAAATTGTCTAGAGAAAAAGGGTACCCTTGTTCTAACCTCTCTACTGGAGGACCTGGGTATGTGTCTTAGCTATTGGTGAACCCCAAAATCATAGAGGTATCCTTCTGGCTTCCCAAACCAAGCCCCAAAACAGTGCCCTTGAAGAAGGACGCAGCCTTGCGAGACTAGCTTTACTTGAATTCGTTTTGGTGTGTCTTTTGTTGGGGACTCCCAAACAGGTAGCGTTCCTTTGATTTCCCTTTAAACACCACAAGCAAGTAGTACTCACTCCCAACAAAGACGTGCCACTTTGTTTGTTTGTATCCATTTGTCCATGGGCTCCAGAGAACAAAGTTGTCGTTTTTAGGCCCACTTTCTGTGATACCAAGCAAAACCCTTGAAAGTGACACGCTACAAGGATGGTCCACTTTGGTATCACAGATAAGGCTAGTTTCCCACAGCGTGCACAACGTTATAGTCGTGTGCTTGAAGCTTGTCCCAGACAGTTTGTTGCTTGTCTACTTCCGCACCGAAGGCACATGTACAGAAACTACGACGATCTGGCGGACTTCACTCTGGTTCTACATCCTGACGTCTTCGAGCATGCACCTTAGCTCCACATTCCCGTTCGGCTCCCTTTCTAGTGAAATCAAGAGTCGACAAGCCGAAAGTCGAAGGGCGCGAGACAAGCCGCTCGGAACCTGAGCAAGGTCAGCGAATACGTCCGTCCTGTATTCCCTTCTGCTTATGGTTCCCTTTTGATTATCATATTGGTGTCGTCAACACACCCCTATAATCAAGCGATTGACGCGTGATTGGCGCACCCCTTGTAATCAAGCGGTTGATGTCAACTTCCATCATCCACTCCAGTCACCGAGGTTTGCTGCATACCTACATGCTGCCTTTGCATCCGTGCTTCAAGCCATGCCTTCGAGGGCATTTGTAGCTCTAGAGCAAATCCCCGCAACACTGCAAGTATGCATCAGATGTCGAATGCCAGGAGCACCTGTCTGTTGACCTACCCCGCAAGATCGTCTTACGAAGCGTGTTGCATGGCCCAATGTTTGTTGTTGACATGCTATTAGTTTGATGTCTTCAACTTTCTGCACACTTTGCAGATGCCCAGGTCCCTTTCTGAGAGAGAAACAGGCGGCAGCCTCGTGGAAGCTGAGCAACGAAATGGAACCTGTGCAACTCGTCTCCTACCCAACCCTTTTGGCTTCAAGCGCAGCCGAGCAAGCCCAAATTGTCAAGCTACTCCCTGCGTTTCATGGTTTTCAGCTCAGTTTCTGTGAGGAAAATCCTGTGTGACAAAGTAAGGATGCTCCGCTTGGTAGTACAGAGCCATCCTTGGACCTCAAAACGTTAGGTGTTGGAGCCGAGGGACCTCAAGACTTCAGAGGGACTCTTGTTGAGGTCCAAAAGCAAATAAGACGTGGCTATGTGTTTCACTCCCAGGTTTCCATGTTTCCGCCTTGCGCTGAGGTGAACCCGCGCACCTTGCGCAACATGCTGCAGTCCCTGCGCGTGGGAACCTTCCGGCTCGCCGGCAATGGGGACACCTGGCACCAGTGCTCCGGCACAAGAAGGCATGGAGCTCTGGGACACGAAGGAAATTCAGCGTGACTTACACAACTTTGCACAGCGTACTTACTTCATGTTGCACCTATTGCTAGTCTTTCAACTTTGTTCTTGACTTAAGTTTCCAAGAGGCTGGGCTGTGATGCTTCCACGCATAGTTGTCCGCTTTGCTCATTGGACCCTTTACTTGAGGTTTGCAGGGATGGTCAAGTTAGATAACCATGATAAGCATTCTTCCTGAGGCAACCATCACCATGACTCATACAAGGAGTGTTGACCAGTGGCCCAAACCCCTTCAGCAGAGTGGCGTTTTCTCCTAGGCACCTGTCGCTGTCGCACCACTACCTGCCAGGGGCTTAGGCAACGCGCGCGCGCGCGAGTGGGCCGATCAAATGTGCGTGGCGTGGCTACTTCACTTCTGCCGGAAGCTAAGCAGCAAGGGCAGACAAGAAAGATACTCGCACATACGCACACGCATGTGTTGCGTTGACAGCCCTTGGGTTCGAAGCGCGTTGAGAACAGTTCTCCGGTTGGTTCTTTCGCTTAGAATCGGTGGCTTGCTAACGAAGCTCTCGAAGGCCCCAAGCATGACTCTGAGCCGGGAATCAGAAGCTTGTCCGTCAGCTTGTGTCGACCAGACTGTTCTGCAAGATGGAGCCTGGGGCGTCTCAAATGAAGCGCCTCTGGAGACCAGAGATGTCGCCAGGTTTAGACCCTCTCGCGCACGGTTTGCCTCTGCAAACTGCACGGATGCCGGAAGCCTTAGAATGCTGGCAGATACTCCGTTTGGCCATGGGCCAAAGGTATGCAAGGCCACGAATTGTGTCTAAGACTTGAAGGCTTGGGACTTGGGAATGATGACAAATATTGAATGGTAAGCAGCGCTTTTGAGGCTTGCCGTTTTAGGTACGTATGACGCAGGAGAAGCGGGGCGTTTAAATGCAATTCCACAAATAATGATTTCTGCCTGACCTGCAGTTCAGCTTGGGAGAAAGGGAATTTAAATCACATACGATGACATCACCCATTAGTACACGCATCCTATCAAAGAAACTGGCTGTATCAATTGGTCGGAGTTCGTGATTTGCTGTTGCATCAGTGTTGTTTAGAGTAAATCCAACTAATAGTGAAGGAAGCGAAAGCCATTGATTAGGTGGTCTAGCTAAGCTAAATCTAGTTGCAGCATTTGTATCAGCGGCATAAGTAGAAACTGATGAAGGGTAGAAGTATGTGCTTTCTTTTGAACGGACATGCGAACCGCCATCTGTTGATTTTAAGGCGAAGGTTCTTCTCTACAAGGACATCATTGGTTTCCAGAGCTTCCATAACTTATATATGTTTAATGATATAACAAATTATGTTCTTATGTCATTGAGCTAGTTTATGTTGAAAGGGAAATAACCGACAACATATTTTTGTTTATAGTTGTGTAGATTTGTTGTTATTGGTATGTTCAATCACATCTTCTATAATATGGTTCATGTCATCGTAACTGATTGTCTTCCTGGATTTATAGTGTTTAGTATCTTTATATGTCTTTATTATATTCAGGCATTATATACTCATGTATATACTAATGTTAAGGTTCTTATAGTATGTTTTCATTGGGTCGCCCCTGATGTTGGTTGTTTCCCTTAGTCGTAATAACCAGTCCGATAGTCGTGACTTACCAAGGGATTCAGGCTTTCAGTTGCTACTGTATTTGCTCCACGGTCTGCTACACGAAGTACATCTCCAATACGTACAAAATTTGTATAACTGTCACTATTTTTAGATGACCAAGATACAAAAGGAGCACCATAAGTTATCAAGTTGGGTGATTTGTTTTGAGGGTCGACAATGGGTTGTTTTAGTGTGTGTATTCAAAACAAGCCAAAAAGTGTATGCGGGACCATACGGGTGGATGGCAAGATATGGATGAACAAGCTCACCTCTAACTTTTGGGGGGGGGTCATGTATCTGATCAGCGTCTCAGGCGGAGCTGGGTTTCCAGGACCTTTGGCAGCAGCTCTTCAATGAGACACCGCCCGAAGAGGAGGAGCAAGCAGAATCCAGTTGATTTGCAAGAGATGTGTGGCCTTTTCCAAATGTGTCACCATTTGGCCACTTGCGCCAAACAGCAATCGACTCTCACCTTTTGTTTCTCGTGTCGAGTTAAGATTGTGCTACCCGCTCAATTGCACTGGTCTAGGCAAAAGCACTGTCATATGGATGTTTCAGTAGCAGACAGGCTGTAATAGATGAAGTCTGCAATTATCCGACTCACTGATCTTGTCAACAAAGGGCTTGCCTTGCAATCCATAGCAGAACATCCGGTCTGAACCCTACATTGAACGTCGACGGCCAGGAGCGCAGCAACTTTGGCTTTTACTGCTGTTCCCAGCTGCTTGTCAGCGGAGGCCTTCATGTAGCTACATTGCGCAGCAATTCTTCGATCGCGACCTTGGGTGTCTTTCTCAGTTGAGGTGATGACTTGAGTTGCCCTGACTGAGAGGGGTTTTCACTATACCTTGAGAAGCTGGGCTGGTTGTGGCGCAATTGAGGCTAAGATGCTGGTTTTGGATTGGAAACGCCTGCTTTTGCATGATTCTCAAAACATTTTGTCAAGCGGACCCTCCAGACTTGTAGCCGGCACTGCAGTGTTCATTGGGCTGGGCAGTTCCCTTGAAAAGCCAGCCTCAGGACAAGCTAAACGGAGTTAGCATTCAATGCGATATTCTTGCAGAGTTGCAGGAGTGAAAGGCATGGGGCAAGGAGGACTTAGACTTGACAGCTGGTTCTTTCGTGCACTTGGCTTCACCAGTCAGTTCGTAGCTGGACAGACTTGCGAGAAGCATTGAACATCACATCAATTAATTCATCCGCAATGATTCCGGGAAGGCAATGGAATTAGGCAAGAATATGAGGTTTGCCGGGTCTGGAATCCTGTTGCTGAAGGCGAAGATGTCATAGTTCAAGCGCACCATTGATTGACGGCCCTTCACATAGCCACTTCCCTTTGAATACCCGCTGTTCTTATGTTAAAAGGTCGTTCTAGCCCAATCCGTGCAAGCGTGTTTTGCAATTGGCAGCAAAGGGGCAAGGTCGTAAGAGCATGTTTCTGAGCTTCAGCGCTTCCCCCCTGCGACGTGCCAATGAGATTCATGTATGGGGTCGGGCAAAGCAATGCATAGGGCATAGGTGTAGGATCTACTCACTGCAGTTGCCCGGAACAACCTCCTGCATTGAGGTTTTCATCCCTTTCCTGACGCGGGTAAAAGGAATAGTGACCCCATTGTGACACATCCGGGCGACTGAGGTTCCTGGTTCACCGGGACTTGGTGAGGGCTCGGCATCGTGGCTGGTACCTCCATGCGCAGCAACAGATCAGCTGGGAGCACTGTGCCACCAGCTACATGGAGCTGCTGTGGTCGCTTGGCCCAAAGCTTCGCCTGGAATCAAAACGCAGCAGCTGGGATGAATGAAGCTCTAGCAATATTGAACAGGTTCGGGATTTGGACCATCCACCGTAGGAAGCTGGGGGGATATCCCATGCTGAAGGAGGAAGTCAAAAACAGGCGTTCAGCAGAAGCATCAGCTGCCAAACAATTACAGCCCCGAAGCAGGCTCAAAATAAAGTAGGGCCCGAAAATAAGTCATGTATTTTATTTTAGTCCACCCCCTTTTTTGATGCGAAATAATTTTGGCGTCTCTGAAAATCCCTTCAAAGTTGGACTGAACTCATTTCAAACTAACATGAGTTGGACTCCCCTCGACTTTATTTTCATAGGAAATAAAATAAAGTACGTTTTGTCCAACTCGGACTATTCAAACCAACCCCCAACATGAGGTCAAAATAAATCGTGATTTTTCAATTTTATTTGCTGTCAGTGTTGGACTATTTCATTTTATTTTCCAACAAGGTTGGACTGACCCTATTTTATCTGATAAAATGGGGGGGTCCAACCCTGTTTGGAACCTCTAACGGGGATCAATTACTCTCGATAACATAGAACCCACATTCGCGGAGGATTCTTTTTGGCGAACCATTTTTCTGGTTGTAGGCGGCCTGCAGATGAAGCCCTTGGTTTTGCGATGCTGGTTTTTGGCGAGCTGTGCTGGTCTCAAGCAGTTGAGGCATGGCATTTTTCGCGGCGTTCTGCACGAGCGCAAGAGACAGGAGCATAATTGGGGGCAAAGGCAGCGATCTGATTCCCAAACAAAGGCCAAGTTGACTGTCGGAAGCCAATACATTGTACGCTCGCAAACCAGCATTGAGAACCTGAGTCCGCCAAAGCAGCTGGTATTCGAAAGCCGCGCTTGTTGTGCAAGACTTGGAACTGCTAATGCCGACTGTCCCGCAATGCTCCAACACCTTGACATCCTCCAAAGGGTCACCACGTTTCTTGCAGCATGCCTTTGAGACAGTCCTTTCCAACATTCACTTGCCACTGAAGGAGCATTGCTCTCACCCTCTGTTGAAGCGGTAGAGATGACTTCTGCCCTCAAATCGCCAGGACAGGCCCGAGCTCCCTCTGTTTCTGCGAGTGGCGCTTCGGCAAAATGAGGTCGCGTCATTCCTGTTGAGGGACCAACCTCTCTGTGAAGAAACTCGGCTACCTATGCTACCTTGAAGATTTGCCAGGAGAGTCTGATGGATAGTTGCAATGTGTTTAAGCTTATATGCAAAATCACTTGAAGCCTTTGACCCAATGCAAAATCTACGCCGGCCGAAATAGGATGCGGCCAGATCCTTCAGTGGGGCTAATTCCCTACTTCCTTTTTTTTGGGGGGGTCCCTTCAAAGGTCAACAAATCAAGGTGGCCTTGTTGTGGCACGGTCACAAGAGTTGTGACAATCAAGTGCTTGTTTTTGTTGGTCAAGCTTGTAGGCGATCAGGCTGACATGTGGTCGCCGGACGGTCAGTTGGGAAGGCAGGCGATCGGTGGTTTGATTGGCTGGCTGGGCTGGAAGGGCTGAAAACAAGGGCGTTGGTTGGGCGCAAGGACAATTTTCTGGAAGGCACGTCGGACGGCTTGATCTGATTCGGCCAGCCCAGCAAGAAGGAGAGTTTCACAAGAAAAGCTCGTATGCTGCAACGGGTGAAGGGAGGAGGACCCCTGAGTTGCTGCTTTGATCATGTTTTTGTTCAATGGCGCTTTTTTTGCGCGTTCTCCGATGTCGGTCTTGCTACATCGGTCAGATGGCCGATGCATCATTTTGCCGACCTGCTTCCATGTCATTATTTGTATACAAGTAGTGAGCACATTGTGTGCAAACCCGTGTTGTGTGGGTGTGTGGGTGTGCCACTAGTTTAGTATTTGCCAAGTTGATATGAATTGCCAACATGTCGCAGAGGGGTTGAGACGGTCTCGCGAGTTGCGGTAGTTGTTCTGCAAATATTATACTTTTACCATGGCAAGGAGAGCAACTCGAGCGTTTGTCACATTCCCTTTGGCATTTGGGCGAGCCTTCAACCCACTTCCCCCGCAAACTAATCCCCTTGCAAAAGATGGACGGAGCAATTATCCGAATTTGATAATTGCGGGTCATTCCATCTCCCATGCACTGAATAGTGAGACATGTTCAGTGTTGTCATGCGTGCGAGCAGCCGACTGTTCTTTTATCAATTTCTTCGAACCGTGCTGAGTTAAGTAAATGGCTTCGGCGTCGTGTGGCTCAAGCAATATAGACGAGATGTATCTCAAGGCTGTCAGACTGAACCAAGCCGTGTGGTACATGTGGGCAAGGACAAAAGCCAGAGCAACACATGAGCTGCATCCAGAGCGAATCCCATGACGTCATGTGATTCTCAGTTCAGAGTCACAGGAAGCTGGGGCTCAATCCATTCCCACCTGAGTGCGTATTCAGACCGCTCATGGCTGGGCGCTTTCTGCTGGTGCTGCTTGCTGCACATGCGGTAGCTCAGAATTTCCTTAACGAGGCGCGGGCCATGGGCGCAACATACTAGCTCAAGCGGTTCGAACATTTGGCTGCCCAAGATTGCAATTACAGCAAAACCAGATGAGTTGAAAAACCGTAGAACAGCCAGCCTCAAGTCTATGGTACTTTCCGACAGGGTATGGCATTTCTTGAAACTTGACATATATGCTGAGAGTAGCAGTCAAAAATGCCGTCAGGCCTAAACGGCTGCCCAAGATGTTTGCAGTGGTTTTCGGGGCATGTATCCATCCTATTTCAGGGCAAGCTCACCATGCAGTAAAACGAGATCACCATGATGTAGGCCATTTACCTGAGGATCCAGTTTGTTGGAGTTGACAATTTCTACCAGACACATGGTAGTCACAATAGTGGGACTGGCACAGAAGATGCCCTGTTTGCTCGCAGCAACACGATTCATCCTGGCGAAGCGGCGCAGCCACGCGCAGGGTTCAGCCTAGTGACATTGCAAGGCTAGCTTCAGGAATGATTTGGGATCACCCAATCATGGTGACTTTCTTTTCTATTTTTTTTGAGCTAACCTTAGAAAGGCTACCCTCAAAAGCACGAGCCAGTTGCTGAACTTGAGGAGCTTTGAGTCAGAGATGCATACCCAAGATGATGGTCTAGCAACCAGGAGGGGCGTGAAAAAAGCGCCACGCTGTGAGATTTAGCCAACGAGCACGGAGAGGTAGGTCAGGACATTGCAGTGTTTGGTTGGGGATGGCTTATAGATTCTTCTGCGGCATTAGAACCTTGAAGCAGATATCGTAAGGGCTTCAGATTCTTAGCCTTGAAGCAACCTAGCAGCGCAGCTTGAATGCATCCTTGGAAGGATGTTGGAGATACTGCGCAGACCTGCAACGTCGATGCAGTGCAGGCTGGAAGCTGAAACACGGCAGGATGGTGTCTTGTCCACGCCCACAAGAACATGTACCATGAACCATTCCTGGGCGTAGGAGTATCAACACGTGGGTAATTTGGAGAATTTGGACGAACACAAGGGTTCCCAGAAGGGGAGCCAGAACCGTGGCCCACGTGAGTTTCAACGTTATGGACAAACTCTATCTGGGACAAGGAAGAGCACGCCCACAATGAAGGTCCTTTACTAGGGAGCTTTGGTTATTTCCGCCTTGATAATTGCTGTAAATTGCCCAGGCATATCAGAATGTGTGATTTGCCATTGTACATTTATTTTATAATTTTATAACAGGCTCTTTGTGGTATCCTGACAAGTCATGCGCCTTTACCAGCGGTGTCTTTCTTTTTGGATTGCAGTTGTGCCATGCTTCAGCTCCCTGTGACGGGGGATATCATTGTAGTCTACTTCCTGGTTTGGGTGGGAGGATGTGGGCGACAACCCAATCTTGCCACGTTCTCCAGGGGAAACCACGTAATTTGGTCGTGGGCTCGTTTGATGAGTTATGAAGTACGTAAAGCAAACTTCATTGATGGGACATGAGCTGGAACCAGAACTTATGATGAATTTAGTTGCGCTATTTATTTCGACTCATGTGTTTGCATTTGTTGTACCAAAGGGGACAGACAAAGCAATACCCCGTCAATACCCCATACAAGGGCGCAACACACCCAAGACAATATGGAACCTGAGCAGCCTACCCTTTGCAATGCAGAGTGCAATGTTAGCCCGTAAAAGAATGATGTTCCTTCAGCTTGATTCAGCACTGTCGTAAACACGATGCATCCTGTGCTTGCGCGCATTTGTCTAGAATTATGCTATCTACAGCCCAAGAGTGGCAGCGCCAGCAGCAGAAGCATTTTTGGATTCCGAATCAGAAGCAGCATGAGATCAACACATGAAGCGGAGTGTCCTGCTGTACCTATGTATGTCACAACAGAAAGGATGCATGACTGCAGAACATACTGGGTGACAAACGGTTGGGGTTTCACTGTTGTGAAACATCATGGATTTGACCAATTGTGCCTTTGCTGTGCTTGAGAGTGCCTGTAATGCACTGCAAGCCCAAGCTTTTCCAAGGCACATCGATTGGGCTTGCCGCGCGGGCCAATTTCTGGATAGAAACCCTTGATCTTGAGATCGACCTTCACGGCAATGCATCTGATCATCCGGTCGACCGCCACACCGCGTGTCAAGGTGGCCAACCTACGACAGTTGCATCCCATCTTGCATGATTTGGTCGCTCGGCTTGGTTTCAGACATGTGCAAATGTTGGCAACGGATCCATGGCATATCCGGTTCCATCGCTTCAGAATGCTCTGGTTTTGCTTTGGTTGCCTTGTATGGTCCTGGATGCCCTGGCCAGGGGCGACTGATTTGGAGCAGAAACTTGCAGCCTGAGTGAATACTGATACTCAGCGTGCCCAAAGTGAGGTAAATACCACCTTCTTCCGGCTCTTCCGGGTGAATCTGCGAAACCCTGTTTGCGCGGTGACCCAGAGTGCTCATGTAGCTTGTCGGAGCGACGTCACTCCACTGAGTCACACGACAAGCGCAAGCCTCAAGATCTCTCTGGTTGCAATTGTCCTTGGTATTCATGAGTTGCCGCTGTTGTTTGTGAAAGAATTTAAAGCAAGAAAGTAACATAACACCCAAACCATACTTGTGGCTTGTTTGAACAAGACCTCAATGCAAGTGACAGGGTCACGGCCTCCTGGTTTGGCATTTGTCTCATTTGTTCAACGCAAGGCGACGAACGCTGTCTTTGGATTTGATTTAGGTCAACTGCATGCAGCTAGCAGTTGCAATCGGGTTCTTTCAGTCGGGGGCTATTGTGAAATATGTGTCAACTCCGCATGGGGTTAACAAGTTGGCAAGAGCAGACTCTTATCGATCACCGGCGATCCTACCTGTCACGGAGTTGTGGCAAGGGCATCACCTTTATTTTGCCTTGACTTGTGCGAAGCTCGGAGACGTTGAACACAACCAGCTTGGCTGTGCCCAGAATGTCGCGGCAGGCTTCAGCTTTGGACCACTGCGACCGCTAGACACAGTACCGAATGTACCTTTATCAGCATGCTGGTAGGGTTGGGTGCTGATCAGTTGTGTTTTGGAATGTAACTTGCTGCATTCTGCTGACGGGGTGGCTTGCAGAGGCACTGCCCAGAGGCCAAGATAACTGGATGGGGTTCCACGCTGTTGAACAAATGATTCCCTTTCTCCCCGGCGGAAGCGGCCTGAACTGTACCGGCGTGAGGCCCATATTGGAAGAGTACTGACAGCGAACCAGAGAAGCCAGGAGGTACATGTACAGGTGCCTTGGCAGCAACACACACCGAAGCTTTGCAGACATAGGTCTCAAGAGGCGGCCTCAAATCGAGACATTGCTGGAAGACACTGGAGGGATTGAAGTGCTAAGCTGCTTGATTGGATGCACGGAAGCATGTTTTCCTGAAGCCATGTCCATGTCCATAGCATACTTCGTTCCATGCATGTGTTTGCTCGTCACCATGGCTCATCAGGAATGATTGGATCGGATCGGAGCGTAAAAGCTGAACATTGCCAAAGTCTACATGTCTCTTTCAAGAGAATGTCAGATGATCGTAGCAATTCACATCCATATTCCAGCTGCGACCAACAGCTAATCAACCATTTTCAATCAGTAGTGGCTCATAGAAGTTCTACACTCAGAAGGATGTTGTTCGACTCGATCGAAAGGCTTCAAGTAAAAACACGTTTCCCGGAAACGTCTCTTTATGTGCATCATTTCTTCCTGTCCCCTTGCCTGCATTGTAAACTGAAGGTTACATGGACATATGATGGGTTCCCATCGTCCCCGGCATATTCCATGGAAGATCTGCAAGACCTGGCGATTCGCTTCCAGGATCCGTGCCGACGGGGCCGCTCGGAAAACCGTCCTTCCTCACCAAGGGAGGCTGGAAACGGATGGGCTCCTTGATTGAGTCGCGTCGGCAGATTATGTTTTGCAATGGAAGTGGACACGGTGAACGTCTTGAAACGTTTCGCATGTGATGTACTTGCGACGCTGGCGTCCTTAGTTTGCTTCTGCAGGCGTGCGTGTGTCTGCACCTTCATAGCCAGCCTGAGGTTTGAGCTGGAAAGGTGCATTGCAGAATTGCAGGTTCTGAAATTTGGGTGTGAAGCCTGGCCCAGCGATAATTCTGGCACCATGCAACGTGTGGATTGGCATCGTTGTATTGCTTTGTTTGTGGTCTACCCATTCTTACAGCGCAGCTCCGCCAGACTTTGTGCTTTGATGTTCGCCTATCTGTGTTCATCATCATTGCAACGTATCAATCATGGAAGTCGAATCGTTGACGTGTGAAAATGATTGATAGTGTTCCTTTTTAGGAAGGGCCCAAGGCTTTTGTGAGGACCATCGGGCAATACATTTCTTGAATCATATTGACAATTCTTAAGTCCAGAACGCACACTTGCAAAGACGATGCCACGCATGGTGTGCCAAGACACTGGGTGGCATGTAGACAGCATGTCACAGTGTTGTAGTGCTATGATGTGAAGCCTGTGGCAACCATCTTCAGCCAAGATGTTTACTGCCAATGATTCAGCACGTTTGGATGCTTCCCCACACTGCTAGGAGCCACCTTCACTCCGAAGTGGAGATCCGCAGAGCCCTCCCTCCTTACTTGCCACTTTTATGTTGAGCTTACATCGGGACAACACGTTTGGAATTATTGCTAAAGTTTACTTCATGCAAACAAGGCAAGATAATTATAATATGTTTAAATGGTATATTGTTCTAACACCCCTCTAAAGCCCTATTGCAGCTTCGTATTCCCCTCCCCGGTGCCAAAAAGGAAACTGGCCCGCGCCAGGCCCCGGCGCTGGCGTTTCCAGTTTGGAGCCGGCTCAGGCGTCAAAGTAACCGTTGGTTGGGAAGCCACCCCGGTTTCCGACTTTTGACCCCCAGTCAATTGCCCAAGTACAGCCATTTCTGACCAGTAGTGAATTGATTTGTTTAACCCCGGTTTCTGAACAAGTGGTCAACCTGGTTGAACCTAGCGGTTCCAGTGAAGGACGCCTCTTGGGACGGACCCCGATGAAGATCAACCAGTGCATCATTTGATCCTGGGTTCCCTTTAGAAATCCTTCGCTTTGTGTTGATCACGCTTTAATATCAGTGGGCGCCTTTTTTTGTTGAGGGCCGAGGGTACCCTTCTCGGGTTGAGTTAAAGGGAAACCAAAAGGAACGCCAGACATGTGCCCACCGTTTTGCCACTTGTTGCAGCACAGCGCTGGTACAGCTACGCGCACATAGTTGGTTATGTTGTTCATCAATTAGAATTGGCTTCGCTTCTTGAAATGAGGGCATGCCTGCAACGAGCCAGTGAGTGCTCTCAGTGAAAGAGCCACATAAGAGCTGCCAGTACTGTCCAGACCCAAATTGTAACCAAAGCTCGAGCCTTGGCAAGAAACAACCTTGGGAAAGCCATCTGAGAAAACATGTTCGCCAATACACAAAAGAAGGTCTTCCCTGGCAGGCTTCCCCACACCCAGCCGGTGATGCCCGTATCCTTTGACGTGGGCAACATCGCCCGTAAGCATGTTGTGCTTAGGCTGAAGGGCTAGGCAAGGTGAACATGTACAGAACAAATGGCGCGTGAAACAATTTCAATAGCTTGCGATCCCTAAGCTGGCGCCTGAACTTTCAAGATATACCTATGTTAGTTCATCACGCTGCGTGCAAACACGGCGAAAGGAGCTTAAATAAGGACTCCTTCCAAATGTTTGGTGGACGATACGTAGTCTCCAGAATGATCCTTTGGTGCACGAAGTAAACTCTTGTGGCCACCTGGGACAAATTGTTGGTTCTCATGGAATGGGTGAATGATCCTGAACCATCTCTGGTTCCCTTCAACGGATTCCCCTCCCGGTTCATTCCCAAAACCCTCGAAGGAGTCCCTACCAGCAAGAGGAACTGAACTGTGTTCTCAGAATTTCGTCACCTCCCAGCGATTTCTGTGGTGTTCTCCCTTAGATTTTTCGTCCCAGCGCAAGAGCAACACATCAAAAGCCGGCGCGACAGACGCGACCGAACGACCCCCCGCGAGCGCAGGAAGGGGGCTGCTCCGTGGAGGCGGATGCCAGCTCCTTGGACTTGGCGGTGGACCGGAAGCTCACAAAGCAAGAGCAGGCGCGAGAAAACCGTGGAAGGTGCCATTCCGGAGGGGTTGAAGAGGGTCGCTCAGGGTCGCTTAGGGTCAGGGCTCCTTGGGACCCCTTGAATCACCCCCTTAGGGGAAAGGGGATGGGTAGTTGTGGAAAGACATGTTGCAGAACCACTGCCGTAGCCAGGTTTCTAAGCGAGCTTTGCATGTTACCAAGCGGACTTGTATATTCTTGCTCACCTGCTCGAAGAGCATTGCACATCCCGATGAACATATTTTCCCATTTGCTTGTGCCCAATCAAGTTGCTATACGCATCATGAGCCATCATGGCGACCCGCTGGCGATGATCGTCCCGTCTGTGTCTGCGCAGGTGGCCCAGCTCGAGCGTGACAACGAGCGTCCTGGCATAACATGCGTGGCACCAATCTAGACCCGACCGTGGCCACTTGTTCCATGCAACGCTTGGTGAGGTACGTGGGGTTCCCCGAATATTGCCAGCAAACTAAGCACAAAGTTGATGAAAAGTAGCAGGGAAATCGGGAAAATCGCGGTTCTCCAAGCTCAATCGAGGCGTCATCCGCAGGTCCGATGATGGAGAGGGACTCATAGAGCCGGTTTTATTGATAGTCCTCAGTTGGTTTGAGGAGGACACGGGGACCACCCAAAGTTGCCACAAAAATCGGGGAGACTATACCTAGTACGTATTCCTATTCTTTTCCGAAACAAGTGATTTTGCTGCAGAGCGTGTTTTGTAAAGAAAGAAACGCAACAACGAACATGGACAAATAGGATGATTGGTAGATTGGAATTCAGTGTGACTGACTAGCCTTTTGACGTACTTGTGGGCATGCTAAGTCTCCGCGTTCAGCAGGGAAAGGTGTTTCGTGAGTCTCACATTCACCAATTGCAAGCGGTTCTGAGCTTCATGCGGGCGTGGATATGGCTATGACTTTGAATAGGGACCTCAAAAGTGCTTGGTCCTCCTGCAAAGGCAGCCAATCAAAACCCATGCCCATTTGGTAGCTTGAGGATTGCTGAACTCAGGACGCAGGATTGCGAGTTCGAGGACAGGGCTTGTCCATCATTCATTGAAGCCCAAGGGTCACCTGTTCGATTGGTTCCACCCTGCAAAGAGTTGTGAGGAGGTGAGCGCGATGGAAGCTCCTGCTGCTGAAAACTGGGTTGGGCTTGCGTGGCACCTTCGATCCATCTTGAGACGATTTGTCCCAGACAAGAGGCCTGCAACACAATACAACGGCTTTGGCCCCAAGCGCCCCGGTTGAACTTGGAGAGCCATTTGAGACACAAGGTCCCACAACTTAACTTGAGCTGCCGCCTCTGGAGTGCACTGCAATGCATGGTGCACCCGCCAGGAAGATCTTCCGCACTACTGGATGGATATGTGCTCTGGCGACCATGCCAAGGGCAAAGAACTGGAGGTGCGCTTTTTGTGGAGTAGTTGAGCTGAACCCGCGTTTGCAAATGTTCAACTGCCCCGTTTTGTTTATTATTTTAAGAAACTACTAAGATTTAATGCAGGCCGCGCCATTTTCTGAAAAGAAGGATTCCTGGAAAGAATTGGAAAGGTACTGCTGGACATGTGCCATTAGCAGACCAAGCACAACGGCTTGTTTTTTCCTCAGCATGGCGCAGGATGTGAACCTCATCAAGAACCCAGAGCGCAACACCGGGTACAACGGCTCGCACATTTGGCAGGCCACGGTGCAACAGTCGCACATTGAAGCTTACAGCGAATCGACTTGAGCTGGCATCTCCCACTTCCAAGATTCTTGAAAAGTCAGTGTGGTCAAGAAGTCGGATGCAAGTTATGCAGATGTGGGTTGACTTTGACCTCGACTTGTAGTGGTCTGTTTTCTGGCGATAAAGAATTCATCTCAGAACTGTTCTACTTCTCTGGCGTCACTACCCTCAAGACAGCATGGATGCGCAGGCCATGTACGACGAGAATTGCTTTGAGGCGGGTCAAATTGATTGGCACCAAACTCATTGCAGCTCCCCGTACCTCAATGACTCAAGCGCAAAGTGTGAAGGAAAGTCGTGCCAGAGTTCAATTGCTTAGCACCAGGAAAGGCGGGTGTCACTGTCCAGGGAGAACCTGAGGGATAAAGTCCACAATGTAGTCATAACAAATGGTACCCTGCGTATTGCAGTTTCAGAAGACTGTCCACGTCTGATTCACTGTTTGTCTTATCGCCACGGCTTTAGATACGCACGGTGCACGCCAAAGCCAGTCATAGATGTGTGTCTGTGTATATCTCAAAATAGAGGGACCCAAAATGCTGATTGTCCTTTTTTGGCTTTCCTTCAAAATAATCAAAGTAAAAAGGCTACCCGTGCGCTCATTTGGCTGTGTCAAAAGCACGTTCAAAAGCACACCAACATGGAACAACCACTTGGAAACATGTCCTCACTTGTGATGCAGCCATTTGGAGTTGTGCAGGTGAGGCAGTTCTTCCCAAAAGGGGGCTTGCAAGCTACTCAAAGGGCGCTTTCCCTCTTCAGGTCCCTTGCATCGTGCTGTTTGATTCTTGCTTGGGGCTGCCAACACTCCTAACCTGCTGTGGATTGCCAAAATCCTGCACAACTTCGGGGTTTACCCCGGTCGCAAGGTGGCACTTACTGGTGCAAAGGGGATTTGTCCATCCACAGCTCATTGGGCCATGGTTATGGTTCTGTGTCGCAAGTTCCGGAGGTTGGCAGCACCATGCCGCGGGGCCGCTTTGGCGCCAACGAGCCCATGTGCTACGAGGCGGGCGGCAAGCGGGCCAAAGAAGTGGTTGCGTTCGGGGGTCTCATTTGATTCCTTGGCTGGGAACCCCCTTGAAGGTCAGCTTCATGGCCACAGCCAGACAGTGAAGCAGGGAATGGGCGGTCTTGGCGGTGTAAGCTTCGGCAACTGACTCCCAAGGCATAAATGGCGAGAGGCCCCATTGAAGTATACCTGAAGCATGCCCAGAGGAGAAACTTTAGGACCCAACCCATCAGAAATGTTCTCAGAAACCTTTGGCAAGGCAAACCCCAACCCCAAAATGACCTTCCGGAGTTGCGTAGGTGAAAGCGTTATTCCCGTGTGCCAGGGTCCCATTTTGCGATTTCATGTTCCGGGCGGTGTCTTGGCTCAGGAGAGGGTGCTCTACCGCCTGCTCAGCGGTTGGCATGTGTCGACCTCCATTTCCATCGCCAAGAATTTCTACGCTCCAGGAGCCAGGGATCAGAAAGTCTGAGCAACATGGGGTAAAGGTCATCAAGATCCTTCCATTTGCTTAGTTAAGAATATTTGTTATTTCCCCTATTAGTTGTAAAGGGAATCTATCACTACTGGATATTTTTTTCCAGGGGGCTAAGCAAATGGAAGGATCCCTTACTTTTTCTTTTTGCTAAGTGCACTGACCAAACGGATTGTCCAGGATGGATCCCAAAGAACCCGAAATCACACGCAGAGATTGTTTTTTTGTTCCCCGTTTTTTGGCAATCTTGAGCAGACAGAGCCGGCCACGATTAGTAAAGGACCTGGCAGCAGACTCTTGACTGACCGTCCTTCTGTAGCAAGGAGTACGCCGCAACGTAGATTGACCCGTCGTACCACCGGAAGGGGCATGGTATCAAGAATGATTCACCGATGGATCATAAAATAGGCTCGAGCAAGTTTGTTTTTCAAGTCTGCTTTCATTTTGCCAGATAAAGTTTCAGACAACGCCTGTCGCAAACGATTGGATGATGTTGCTCAAAGAGGGGATTAGCTCTTGTGAGGGCAATGTCCAGACTTCACGTGTGCAGGAACGAAGCAGAAAGGTGCCTGGTCGCCCAATCTGGTCCCATGGTGGCAGAGAATGGTTGCCATTGCAAGGCAAAGCAGAAGACCTGTGTTGGTTTTGGACAGGCGGTGTGCCTATTTCATGCACCTATCTCGATTGTTGGTTGCGTGCAGACCGATCAAAACAGGTTTCTTCAAAGTGCTCAAGCAACCCCTTCTTGACTCCAGCAGTCATTCACCGGCCCTCCTGCAGTGCTTGCAGTGCGACATGATTTCGTCCTTTTGGTGCGCCTTGACGCTCAGCACATTGTGACATGTTGCAGTTTGGCAGATGCCGCCCTGGGCTTTCGTAAGGGTCACGTTTCCAAGTTTGACTGAGTTCCAAGGAACGCTTCTATCACGACGTGGGCGAACATCCGGAGAGGGCAAAGAACCTTCACTTCTCCTTCGTGGTCTTGCTGCGCGCGGTGCGCAAGGCATCAAGTCGGCACCTTCAGTTCGGCCTTGGCTCGAGTTGCCAGCTGAATGGCAGCTCAAATTACAGGACTCTTTTGCCATAGAAGTAGATTAAACACATCTTGGCAAGCTGACTGCGCTGCCACCCTCTAATTCCATTTTTGTTTTTTCAGTGCGCATCAGTTGTATTTTAGATGCAGCCTTTGGGTTGTCAGTGTGTATGTGTTTTTGCTGCGCACGTATATGTACAGCATGCCATTTTCAAACTAGACGACGAGTGGCCCGGAAGCATAGAGGCAAGTTAGTTGTTAGCGATCAAGTAGTCTAGTCGCGACAAGCTGCACACAGACAGATTCCGCTTTTTGTCAGTAGCTCGAATATGGCACTAAAAGTTGAGGAATTTCATGCACTTCTCAGTGCAGGTTCTCCCTGCTCATCGCGATCTTGCCCCCCATCATGTCGCGCGTGTAGATCGAGTGGCTCGGCATGTGGATCTCGATGATGCATACCATGCTTCGGGCGGCTCCAACATGAACAAACAGGCAGCAAGCAAACTACCGCGATGTTGTTTTTTTTGCCGCGCTAGCTTGAACCAACCACCAGGCGCGTGGCGCGGAAGGCGAGGCGGGGGAGAACCAACACCTGAGGCACCGTGGAGAAACCACCACCACCTGGGCGAAGCGAAACTGGAGCGAAGCTCCTGGACATGCAGGCAACTTACAAAGCGAGGTCTCAATGCAAATGCAGAAGTGTGGCACGGAGGTTGTTCAATCTGCTGATGTTGTCCGGCTTCACTCGGCTTCCCTTGGCTTCACTCGAGTGCAACAGCGTGCAGGCAGCACAACTGCTCAAGCATGTTATGTAGGTTGTTCAATCTGCTGATGTTGTCTGGCTTCACTCGGCTTCCCTCGGCTTCACTCGACAGGCAAACGTGGAGTCCACACTAAGCGCTCAAGCATGTCACGCAGGTTGCTCAATGTGCTGATGTTGTCTGGCAGCAGCGAGGAAGATCGCGAAGCGCATGTTAAAAGATACGGCGGCTGCATGCTGCGCGCGAAGCTGTGCGTGGCGGCGGTGTGTGATGCTGCGCGCGATGCTGCGCATGACGTGGGTGTGACAAAACAAGACTAAAACATAACACAGCAATAAATAACACGCGCCACATGCCCAGGTGCTTGAGAGCCCCGCCGCGCGTCAAGCCGGAACATAGGAACTGCTCCGCAGCTAACTCTACGCGGCAAAGGGCGAGAATTGCTCCGCGCCAGCTTGAACCAACCACCAGGCGCGTGGCGCGGAAGGCGAGGCGGGGGAGAACCAACACCTGAGGCACCGTGGAGAAACCACCACCACCTGGGCGGAGCGAGACCGGAGCGCAGGAAACTTACATAACGAGGTCTCAATGCAAACGCACAAGCGTGTCATGTAGGTTGCTCAATCTGCTGATGTTGTCCGGCTTCACTCGGCTTCCCTTGGCTTCCCTCGGCTTCACTCAAGTGCAACAGCGTGCAATGAGCACAAAAGCTCAAGCATGTCATGTAGGTTGTTCAATCTGCTGATGTTGTCCGGCCTCACTCGGCTTCCCTTGGCTTCCCTCGGCTTCACTCAAGTGCAACAGCGCTCAATGAGCACACATGCTCAAGCATGTCATGTAGGTTGTTCAATCTGCTGGTGTTGTCCGGCTTCACTCGGCTTCCCTTGGCTTCACTCGAGTGCAACAGCGTGCAGGCAGCACAAATGCTCACGCGTGTCATGTAGGTTGTTCAATCTGCTGATGTTGTCCGGCTTCACTCGGCTTCCCTCGGCTTCACTCAAGTGCAACAGCGTGCAATGAGCACAAGAGCTCAAGCATGTCATGTAGGTTGTTCAATCTGCTGGTGTTGTCCGGCTTCACTCGGCTTCCCTTGGCTTCACTCAAGTGCAACAGCGTGCAGGCAACACAACTGCTCAAGCTGCTGATGCGAGTTGTTCAATCTGCTGATGTTGTCCGGCTTCACTCGGCTTCCCTCGAAGAGCAAAACGTGGAGTCAGTGCAAGCGCTCAAGCATGTCACGCAGGTTGCTCAATCTGCTGATGTTGTCTGGCAGCAGCGAGGAAGATCGCAAAGCGCATGTTGAAAGATATGGCGGCTACATGCTGCGCGCGAAGCTGTGCGTGGCGCGGTGCGTGACGCTGCGCGCGGTGCTGCGCATGATGTGGCACATGATGCTGCGCGCGAGGCTGGTTCAATCTGCTGATGTTGTCCGGCTTCACTCGGCTTCCCTCGAAGAGCAAAACATGGAGACAGCGCAAGCGCTCAATCTGCTGATGTTGTCTGGCAGCAGCTAGGCAGATCGCGAAACGCGTGTTGCAAGATGTGGCGGCTGCGTGCTGCGCGCGAAGCTGTGCGTGGCGCGGTGCGTGACGCTGCGCGCGATGCTGCGGATGATGTGCCACGTGCTGCTGCGCGTGGTGTTCACCAGTGCTGGCGGTGTCGTTCGTGTGCGTTTGTGGCGCTGGCTGCTGGCTCTGCCGGAGTTGTGCGCCCGCATACAAGCAAGAGGTAAAAGCCCAGACCGCTCGCGACTCACTCGCATTGTTCTTGCTCGTCGCATGCGCCCGCTCGTTGCGCTCAGCAACAAGCCGTGCATCACTACCTGAGCTACTCATGAGCTATGCTACCCGGAGGACTCACAAAGAATCACGCGTGCCGCCGCGGAGACTGGAAGTGCCAAGGTCGTCCTTGAAGTCGCCGGAATCCGACCACCAAGATGCTCGTCCTCCCACGTCTATGTCGCGCCAGACTGGGATCGCTCGCGCGTCGGAAACATCCGCCAGCGCGAGCCAACCCAGATGACACGACTATAGCTGTCTGCAGTGCTGAGCCATCTTGATGACGAACGGTGTGGCAGCCCAGGCTGCGTGTCACGCACGAAGCTTTTGCCGGACTCGCCGCTCAAAAGCGCCAGAGGGGAAGAGATCGGACACGAACTCGCCCGGAGGACTCACAAAGAATCACGCGTGCCGCCGCGGAGACTGGAAGTGCCAAGGTCGTCCTTGAAGTCGCCGGAATCCGACCACCAAGATGCTCGTCCTCCCACGTCTATGTCGCGCCAGACTGGGATCGCTCGCGCGTCGGAAACATCCGCCAGCGCGAGCCAACCCAGATGACACGACTATAGCTGTCTGCAGTGCTGAGCCATCTTGATGACGAACGGTGTGGCAGCCCAGGCTGCGTGTCACGCACGAAGCTTTTGCCGGACTCGCCGCTCAAAAGCGCCAGAGGGGAAGAGATCGGACATGAACTCGGAGCTGTGCCAGCCAAGCTTTCTAACGTAGGACAGTGCCCTGCTCTCGTCCCGAAGCGCTTGCGCTTCGAACTGCTGCATCCTCTCCACCAGCGTGGTGTTGTGGGCGTGCAAGTGCCCCTCAAACACGTCCCTCTCAGGCAAGTCGATGATCCACAAGTCGTCCAACTTGCGCGGGCGAGATAGCATGACGTACATCGCCAGGGCGTAGTCTGCGTCTTTCATCCAGCTGGGCCTGGAAAGGAAGGCCACGAGACCCCGCCGGGCAGTCACGCCCTGCAGCCCGTAGTGAGTCAAAACACAGCGAGGAGCCAGCGGCACCTGCTTGCGCACCACGCTGATCTTCTCCTTGCCCGCAGTATGAAAAGACCAAGCGTTTTCTGAAGATATGGCGCGGATGAAAAAGTGCCCGGGCGGAACGCCCTCATGCCCAGGTAGGCAGTAGTTCTTGTACTCCTCGTCATCTACTTCTACCAGCACTGCCAGAGGCTGATGTGCGAGAACAACACACCCCTGACCCTCCGGGACTGGCGGCTCCTTCGGGTGCAGCTCTATCCTTCGAACGATCACGGGCAGCTCGCGTGTCAGCAAGGGCATGGGCAATATGCAAGACACGCGGGCAGGCTGCACCAGCCCGGGGATAGAGCCGCCGAAGGCTCCGAAGTGCAGCTTCGCGATTCCGCCCGGCGGCACCGAGAAGTCCAGGCGCGCCGTGCTCCAGACTCCCTGCGAGGGCGTGCCGAGGAAGGTGCCGGTGACGCCCACGTAGTCGTTGTCGGCCGCGCTGACGTACATCACCAAGTTGGAGGCCGTGCCCAGCCGGTACCGGCAGCCGAAGGAGTAGCGTCTCCCCGGCGTCAGCGTGTAGGTGCGCACGATGTTCCAGGCGAAGGCGCTCAGGGTCATGGCGTAGCCCTCCAGCTGGAAGCCTCCCACCGTGAAGCTGGCCGAGGCCACGGAGCTCTGGCTGTTGGAGCGCACCAGAAAATTGCCTAACGTGGTGAGCGAGGCATGCCCACGTAGAGAGGACACATGCCAAGCAGATATGACGTCTTTGTCATGTTCACGACCTGCAAGGCTGCGAAGACGCGGTCTCTGCTGAGCTGCGTGGGACCCGTGGGGCGGTCAATCGCCTGCGCGAAGTACAAAGTCTGACCGGCAGCTCGGGCCTCCAGCGCGGCCCTGAGCTGCTGCAAGCGGGCCACCTGCTCCCAGGCAAAGCCGCCCCAGTGAGCTTGGAGGAGCTGCTCGCGAGTGGACGCTGAAGTCGTGGAGGCCGAGGTGTAGCTCCTCGCTTTGACGGCTTGCCACAGCTCGTCAGACATGCGCGTCCCACTTCGCATGTGCTGCAAAAGCTGCACGAGCTGTCGCCCAGAAACGCAATCCAAGAAGCGACCTGTGCCGGTGAAGTGGACGACCCGCTGCAGCGACTGCTTGAATAGCAGGCGCCCCAGCTCGGACGCGTTGCTGACCTCACGGAAGACTCAGAGTGAGGCATGGCCTACATCCAACCGTGGAAATGCGTCAGACAAAAACACAACACTCAAAGCTCACAAACGCTGCCATGCTCCTCCGAGTCGTCGTGCTCCGCGTCCGCGTCGGGGTCGGCCGAAGGCTCTGTCGCTGCCTTGGCCGACACCCACTCACAGAGCGACTTCTGCGTGGCTGGGCGCAGCTGCAAGAAGTCCGCCAGCTGGACGCCGATGGGCATCTTGCCAAACCACTCCTCCATGTACTTGCTCATGTCCAGGCCCAAAGGCTCTTGTCGCAGCAAAGAAAACCTATAGCCGGCCGCGTGATACACATCTGGAGGATTCATGGACAGCTCGTCCATCACCGTGGCAGACGCCTGGGCAATCTGCGCCTCCACGGCGCTGCCCTTGGCCTTGGCACCGCGAAGGTTTCGGCGGTCCAAGCCAGTGTTTGGGCTCACGTTGGCCCACTTGTGCAGCGTCTTCGCCTCGGGGCCAAGGAGTCTGACGGCTGCGTGGGTGGGAGCTCCCACGATGTAGCCAGCGCGTCCAAAGAATCGCTGGAAAAGAGGACGGAGCACCTTCGTATAGGCCCAAGTTTTGCCGGAGCCCCCTGCGCCAAGCCACAAGCAGTTGCACTTCTCGCTGCTGGCTCCATCCGCCAGGCAGCTGGAGAAATCAGTGCGCTTGTCATACATCTCCTGCATGGCGTTCACGACC